CGTGCCTTATCCCTTTGGTATTTCCCTTATCAGTTAGTACGCTTTATTTTCCGTCCCTTATTCATTTCCATCTTCATTTTACTAAGTTCCGATAGACTAGTGATAGTCGTCCCATATGTTTTCTCCATAGCTTTACATAGCCTCGCACTGCACTTACTGTTCTCCGTTATGTCCTCAGTAGTATATAAACCCCTGTACAGTCTCTGTAGTTTCCTCAGTTCGAATATCATCTTAGACTCTGCTCATTACCTCCTCCGTCCGACTTGAGTTTCTCTCTCGTCGACCTCCGCTCGTCTTAGGATTGACTCCTATAGACTTATCACCTCCGCCTCTACCTTTGGTAGTCCTCCGCTGTTTCCTTTCTAGTTCAGACTTCGTCCGGATTAGTCTTATCTCTTGTTCCCGAATGTCCGCCGGAATTCCCGCGTATCGGACATCGGACTCCGGACATCGCCCGACGCCCTCCGGACATCGTCCGGTAACCTTCGGACATCGTTCGACAGCCTTTGGAAGTTAGGGGCGCAGCGCACAAGCTGAAGCCAAGCCCTTCGGATCCAACCCTTGAGCACGTTCTTAACACATTTACGAACTAAATTTCGTGCTAACCAAAACGGTAACTCTCGCAAGAGTTTTAGACGACATTTTCACTAAGTCCAATTTTTAGATGTATGAAGTGTGAGTGATACATTAATGCTAATGATTTTCTTTCTTAAATGTTCTCTTGAGGTACCATCTTGCAAATTGAGAGTCCAATCATTTTACAGCACACATTTATAATAATGGCTAACAGATTCTGATAGTTCAGTTGGGACCAAGTGCTGGTTTAAGAAAAATAAGTAGATACATTTGAAATAAGTAAGGAATAAGTAAGCTCATGATTTACTGATCAGTGGTACTGTGGTTGTGATAACTTAAGGTCAATAAACATGCTTACTAAGTTACAGCAAAGTATTGTCTGTCAGTAGTGTACTTCGTACTTCGGGTTTGGGTATGCAACCAGCATCCACAAAATAATTTCATAGTGTGTCTGTTGATCACGTCCATTAGCTAACAAACCAATTGTGGCTGCAGGTCACAAGTTTATCATGATTTTTCCTCCAATTCGCTGAGAAATGCTAGCCATGTCTTCTTGTCGATTACGCCTTCATCTGAATAGTGCAACTTCAGCAACACAAAATAGGAGTGAATGAATATTCATACAGTCACCATCAGTGTCTGTCACTATAACATAACGTGCACCAAGCTTCACGAAGAATTGGTGAAGGAGCTCCAAAGGCGAGTTGGACTGAATCATCAATGGCGCCTACGTCCATTTGAGTGTCTGTACACCATAAAATCAAACGAAAGGAAATACCTGGTCCATGTATACGCTGAAATCGAATAGATCGTCTTCATTCTGCCCTGGCTCTTCCACCCAGGTCGAATATGAAGTAGCCAGTGCCTCATCCGAATAGGTAGTGTGGAAGCGAACCTCTTGGGTTGCTCTCTCCGCTACGACGGCTATATTTTTTGTCAGATGATATTTGTATGGGAAAATGAGGGTATCTACCGAGAGCATGCTCTAGTTCGCTAGCGCCAATGTAGCCAACCATGCGCAGACCATCTTCGTCGCATCTTTGCCTGACAATAGGGAAACCACCATCATCACGCTCAGCATTCAGAAGTGATTGCAATTGCGCCCGAAGACTTTCAACGGTATTGTGTTGGTCAACCCTGATCACATCCACATCTCGATCGGTCTAGAAGTGATACTAAATCAGATCTCAACAATGAATACTAATGATGCCCTTACCACTTCCTTGATGGACAGATTTGACCATAAGTATTCGTGTTTAGCATCTAGGTACGGAAGTTGAGATAGCCTGTGAAAAGTGTCAGGAAGACCGGTAGAGTTCGGACTAGGTTCTCACTCAATGACCAGGTCATAAATTCCCTTAGGTTCCAGGGCATCGGCTACAGTCTTGGCAACGAGAACAGACAGCATGACAGGAACAGCATACGTGAGAGTATCGGTCAGCTCGAACATGATGACCGATAATGACACCGTCGTTCTCTGAAGACCTACAGTCAACTTCTTGGTACCGAGGACTTGGAGCCGGTTACTCACAGTGACGCCAGACAAGGCCGCTGCAGCTCCCACCATTGCATAAAGGCCAGGCACGACACAATCCATGTCACCTTCGCATACATCAAACACAATGCTGTTCGGGTAATGGTACTGAAGCCATTGCACAGCAATGCCAACAATCCGTCCAGCACATGCACCTACCCCGAGGGTGGGTATAAAAATCCCAGCCGGCAATTTGATGCCAAATGTAATTATGGTCAGGAAACCCTTGACTATCATGGCAACAAGGATCGCTCGCACAACGGACCAAACATGGTCGAAATTGCTTGGATCCAGGACACACAAATTGAAATGTGTGTTTTTACTACCTGTGCGGCATTCTGAGAAGAGATTATAAACAAGATCTGTGCCCCCCATGCGCGCATAGGGACTTGAAAGGCACAAGACGGTGGTTACGAGGGTCACCTACATCATTAAGAAGGCTGGATAACGGACAAACAAGGTGACGCTCACAAGGATGACTTCTACAACTGGATGCGCCTTTAACCATGTTCCGCCACGAACGTCACGACTCCAGCGGTAGTTCAGCTTGGAAAAATACGCGCCGTATACTCCCTGAGACCTCGTTTAATGAGCTGTCCTCCAAGAGAACCGAGACACGCACTCCAAGAACTCCAAGTAGGATGAAAAATATCAGCTCGTATGCATGCCAATCCTGTCAGATATAATGAGCAAGTGACTAGTCAAATGCTGCGTTCCAAACCTTGTCATAAGTGACTTGGAATAATACGACTTTACCAGTTCCGAAAGGATTAAGGAACCGGAGGGTCACGGCCGCTATCATCGCGCAGAAAAAGCTAGAAAGTTGAATTCAACACAAAGTCATCTTGGAATGTATGGTGGCTACCTTCTCCACATAACCTTGAAACATCGAACAGCAGATTTAGAAACTGATTCACGCACAACGGAAGGATATTACCTTTGGCGGGAAGAAGTAAGAGACTTCTTCTAAGCTAAACAGGGTCCCACCAATGGGTGCCCCAAATGCAACAGCGACACCTGCCGCGCATGCTGCACTCAGTATCTCACGACGTTTGGCTGCAGAAAAATATGAATATGGAGAAAAAACTTGAACACTGGAAATTAACCTTCGTTATTTTCATACTTGGTATGATAACGACTGATGATGTTGCCTATGCAACTCGCAATGTGAACGAAAGGTCCCTCCTTGCCTGAATTTCGGGCCCATCAGTGATCGCGTGCCAAAAGTAACTTGCGAAAGTAATCACCAAGAGACAATCCTGAGCTAACTGACAAAGCCAGTCCAAGCGCTTTAATAAATAGCACGCGCCCACCGAGATAACCATGAATGACGAAGCCTACATCAATAGAAGAAATTGAAAATGAGAGATGGCCATTTCAACTTTGACCGTCACAAACCAGATAAAATCGTCTTGATTTCCGGAATTCCACTCCCTGCAGCCTGTTATGGCATATCATAATCAGTGTGGGCACTCTGTAGAAAGACTTGTGCGTACATAGTACATCACACCACGCTTGGGCTGCAAAGAGCTCGGAGCGTTTTGTTCACCACTCTTGTTAAAATCCGGAGACAGAACTCCAAATTCTTTACGAGTGACGAAGGACGTCGACGCCGTGAGATTGATTGTGAGGAGCGACGAAGTGCTTGCCAATACAATCTAAGGATGTATGAGATGTCGTATGACCATAATTCAGCGACACAGCCGAGAAACCTACCGCAATGACTGTCAACGCAAGATACTGCACAACACTATCTTCACCTTCCAATCTGCTGCCCGTCCACGACGCAAAGACATCTGACCAAGTCCTCCAAGCGGGACAATGGCCATCCAAAGACCCATACTCATCGGGCAGAGGACAGCAAAAATGCCGTGCACGCCACAATGCGGTCTTACAGTAGCCTTGTTTCACATCAAACAGCCATTGTTCTGCACGGACGACAAGAAATGCAACTACGGCAGTGAGGAACCCGACGACGGTGACAATGATCCACCCAAGGCTCTTGTCGAACACAAGTCGGACTCTGGAGCGGATGGACTTGCCGCGCCGGAGCCGAGCAAAGCGGACCGAATCTTTAATCGAATCGTGAAGCCAGTCAATTGAGGTGAACGAGGAGTACCATACGCGGAATCCATTCGTTCGAACGTCGATGTCAGTTTCCGCAGCATCGGCATCGGCATTTACGAGCGGGGCATCGTAGGCAGATATGGACCGCTGCTGGGAAATCCGCCTGTGGTGTGTACTTTGTGTAAATGTTGACGAGAAGGCCGATGGAGAGTCGGGAACAGAAATAGTCCCACGTCGCGTTATAGGAAGGCTTGGGAGAGTAGGTCTGCGAGGAGCAACCCAAAGACTAGGTTGGGTGCGTGCGCGACGCGGGCGAACGATGGGCAATGTTCCGTAACCGGTGCCGCTGGGGACTGCGCATAACGCAGTCGTCTCATCGTCTGCTTGATTTTGTGCTATGGGTGTCGGACTCGGATAGCTTCCAATTTGTTGCAGGCGTTGCCTGCGGTAATCGGTATCAGATGGGTCACTCAGAAGTCCAGAGGGAGGATCAGATTGAATGGTCGCGAGGAGTGGTGAATTTGGCATTGTACGGCAGGATATGTCTAGTTTTATATCAGCATTACGGCAGCGCGTCATGTTGCGTGAATTCATACACAATTGCTGCAGTCGACGTTGACCGCGTTGGAGAACACAGAGAGGGTGACAGAACAAGACTTGTTCAGTTTATGCTGGTGTTCTATCGCACTCAGGCTTCTTCAATGAATTTCTTCTCTCCGCCCAAGGTCCAGGCTTGAGCCTGAGAGTCTGACTTACCACGCTGTCACTAAAGGAGTACTCACCGTTTAGGCAAATTTATTTGTTGCCACAAAACAAGACCAAATAACACATCAAAGAATTCAAACTCTTACACTGACAACCACTCAGAAATGGCAAACACGGGGCTTGGTGTGCCAGTCAAGCTACTCCACGAGTCCTTAGGACACATTGTTACCGTGGAACTCAAGACGGGCCAACTTTATCGTGGAAAACTCGCCGAGGGTACGTCTATTTTCGAGCATCACTGTCATAGATCCTTTCTGATTCATCTACGCTGCTAGCCGAAGATAACTTGAACATCTCACTCAGAGATATAACAGTAACAGGACGAGATGGCCGTGTATCACAACTAGATCAGGTGTATATCAGGGGAAGTATGGTCAGATTCTTCATTGTGCCAGATATGCTGCAGAATGCCCCCATGTAAGTTGCATACCATCGGATTTCGAGATCACCCTGACCTTGTCGCTTAGGTTTAAGAGAGTTGGTCCCAATGCCATGCGCGGAAGAGGTATCGGTACTGCGCGTGGTCGCGCTACTATTATGAGAGGTCCGTTCTTGTGTTTTTCTGTGTCGCATGATTCACTGACTGAACAAACTCTTTAGCGAACGGTATGGTTATTTTTATTCTTCTGGAACCCGGATCTAATCGAAATGACAGCTCGTCGGGGACGTGGTGTCCCTGCCCCAAGAGGCATCAGGAGGTGATCTGATGACGCTCCTGCGGTAAAAATGTACATATTTTCATAATTCTGTAACTTGTGCAACGCCAACCTGTTTTTTGCCTGCAAAGGTCCCTTCGCGCAACTTATTTTTGTTGCAAGCTAGGGGCTTGTACTAATGTATCTTGAAATCCGCATTCATGTGGAAGAGCTTTGTTACGTTGACGCTTAAGGGTTTATTGAGCATGGAAGCGAGCTTACAGATGAAGAAATTTCAGAAAAGCTCGTTTCCAACTCTTTGAGTTTCGACTTGAATATAGTCCCGGGTGAGATGGGATCATCCAAGCAAAATGCAGGAGCTAGGAAGTCATGGATTCTGTTAGTCTCCATTAAGATCAAATTTTCTGAAGGGATTGGTTTGGATAGCAAGAAGACTGCCAGCGCTTCGAGGTAGTAAAATCGGAGTAACCCAAGATGCATCATGATTTTAGTTTTAAAATAAGATTAAAAAAATCTAGTCGTAAGTGATCTCACTAGAAGTCAGAGACACGCCCTTTGAAACTCCAGTCACCGCCGTCATCACTCCACTTCCTGACGGGCTCCCTTTTCGGACCTCCTTGTTCGCCAGTTCTGGGATTGACATCACCATCAAACTCAGGTGTTAAGGGTTTACGAGCGTCAGGGTGTAACGACATTTGTGCCTCTGTTTCAGCGTGGGAGAGGGTTGGAGATGAGAGGGGCATTTGGGCACTACGCTGTAGTTCTTCGAACTCTCGTTGAAGTTCACGTGGAAGGGGAGGAGGGGAAGGTCTGTTTAAGTGGGATGAACTCATTCCCCGTGTCCCGATTACGAGGCATTCAAGTTGTGGGGCTGACTTGGCGGCCAGCGAACGGAGCCGAAGAAAGGGATATAAGGACATGCGGAATGGCATAAACGTCTCTTAAAGTTTAACAAGCTCACACCGGGCTACTGGTGGCAGGTGCCACATCAGGAAACACTTTGAGTATTCATCAAATTGGAATGACTCACCAACAAAGTTCGCCTGTAATACAAGGCCTAGATGATCAAGTACTGGTCAGGTGCGTTGGTCAACTGACCGAGGGACAAAAAGAAGACCAAGTATGTAGCCAGCGAAGTGGTTTGGTGTTCAGCGATCCGGTTACCGGCGGCAAAACCTTGACAAAAGGTCGATCAGCGATCGCAGGCTCGATGATTTTACTTTAGAAGGATTTAGGCTGCTTTAAGGGTGATAATTAATTTTTGATATTGTAATTGGATAATTTGGATTTTATCGGCTTGGTTTACGGCACCGAGAGTTTAAAGTCCGACTAGCAGCACGTGAGAGTGAATGCAATGAGCAGGGGAGGGGGGAAATAACGTTGCTGACCAAAATATTTAACCTGAATCGTAATGCTATGTTTCCCTGTCTTCTTCACTTTCACACCTCCCTTCTGTGACCAATATTCACTATAGGTTAACCGGATATCAGGCCAGTCTTAATTGTCTTTCCGTGACCGTGTTATTTTAGTTCCCTCAAAGTGCTATCGTGGATCTTCCTGAATCATTCCTCCCTTGACCCTCCTTTTGATCTTCGTATCCTTACAAATCCGTGCCCACTTCTTCATATGCATTCTACTCGTCCCTACTACTCTTCAAACGTCTATTCATCCAATGTCGTAGATATTGGCGACCCTTATGCCGCATCCCAGCAGCCCATGGCCAGCACCTCTATGGTCACTCTCCAGCAGACCCAGTCGTACTCCAGTGACCAAAATGCCTACAAAAAGCGAAAGATCGAGCGAGCCTGCGATGCCTGTCGCCGTAGAAAGACTAAATGTGATGGCCCACGCATGCCTGGCAATATCTGTACCAACTGCGTACAGAATCGCAAGACCTGTTCTTATATGTATGTTCGAGCATATCATACAAGTGAAAGTCACTGAACGATTACGATTCTCACAGCGAAGCTTCGAAACCTAGAGGTCCTCCAAAGGCGTATGTGCTACCTCCGTTCTCTGACTAATTATGACAATAGAACTGAGATCGTGTACAGATATATCACCGGTCTCGAGGACAGGTTGGAAAGAATGGAGGCACTTTTAAAGCGGGTGCGTAAATCTCACGTTTATTGATCCCGCCCAGCATGGTGGGTGTCTCGAGAATGTGTCAAGGTCTTTAATGCAACCAGACCTTCACGCTCTATCCCATGTCTCTCCGAGATATGATGGAAACCGTAGTTTATCTTCTGATACTTGGCTTGTCTTCTCTGTCGCTCCTGACTGACTGACGATTGTTGTATAGCTCCGCCCTGAGGCTGACTTCTCGGAAGACCTTGGTGCACCAGTTGTCCGTGATTCTTGGAAACATGATGCAGAACCACAATACCGTCGTTCCCCAGATGAAAAATCATCATCGCCAGTCGCTCATTTGCGATCTCGTGGGTCACCTAGCCTACCCCCTGTTGGCAAATTCTTGCCTTCATCTAGTGTTAGTGTCAGGAGCCGGCGTTCCGCGGGCACTTCTCGCACTGATACAGACTTATCATCGGACGCATGCACTTCCTCGGAAAGTGAAGAAGTCGGCGAATTGAGTCTTTCCCGGGGCATGAAACGTTTAACCATTCGTGGGCTCGAGCCTGCCCAGGAACATGGCTCATTGGTGGATAGTCAAGTTCGCTTCCATGGCAAGAGTAGCTGCTTCAAACTCATCGAACCAACTCGAAAACTCCGCGAGGAACACATCAACCGCATATTTCAAGAGTCAGGCTCAACTGATGCCGAGAGTGCGTCGGGTAGTCGTAGCTCACCGGAATCAACGAGTTCTGTCATTTTTACACCAACGCGACGACCAGAATTCTGGACCACGCCTTCAGTAAGCGTTCATTCTCATCACGCATCAAATTGCTCATCGCTTGTTCTAGTGGGAATTTGCTTTCGAAGGTTTCCAAGATAGGCTCGAGACGCTCCGCCACTCACTAACAAAGGAATTCCCCCCACCTGACTTGGCTGACAGTTTGATTAATTTATTCTTTCTCCATATCAACCCTCAATGTCCGCTTTTCCATCGGCCGACATTTGAGCACCAATGGCAGCAGGGTCTTCAAGAAAAAGATCCGTGGTTTGGATGCCTGTGCTTGGCGCTATTTGCTGTGGCTAGCCGCTGGTCCGACGATCCCCGCGTATTGGATGGTCATGCGTATAACATACCCGAGGCAGAGATACCTGATGAAGATTGCAAGTGGCAAAGAGCAGGATGGAAGTACTTCAGCGCAGCAGTTGGTATGTTGGCAACCACATCAATTTGTGCTCATGGATCTCATTATTCTCTGCAGATGTTCATCGCGATTCTCGCAGCTTGTTTCATCCCCCTGGCCTGTTTGAGGTACAGACCATGTCTGTGAGTAAATTCACAAAGACAGCAGTGATTTATAAAAATATCCTATCTACCATAGTTGCTAGGCATGTTTCTACGCGGTACCGCCTTTCATCCAGTGGGATGGCTCTTCATCAGCATTGGCCTCCGCAAAGCTCAGGATGTTGGCGCACACCGCAAGAAGATTTACGGAGCAAAGCCAAGTGTTGAGGAGGAACTGTGGAAAAGAGCATTTTGGGTGCTTGTGCTTTACGACCGCATAGGAAGTGCTGCTCTTGGACGACCATGTTGTTCTGGGGAGGAAGAGTAAGTCACACGATTTTTACGTGACCCTTCTGACACATGCTTATCCAGCTTCGATGTCGACCTTCCCCTGGAAGTCGATGATGAATACTGGGAAACCAAGGATCCTGAGAAGGCATTCCAACAACCACCGGGAAAGCCATCAAAGATAGCAGGGTTCAACTCCTATCTAAAATTGACTAAAATCTCCGCATACGCTTTAAGGACCATTGTGCGTTTTCCCACCCCGCAGGTGTCTTTTACGAGTGACTAACTTTCATTGGCATAGTATGCCCTTGACAGGTCCAAATTATTGGTTAGTGCCGCGCGCCCGCGGTGGCATGAAGTTTTGAATCACCTTAGTGCCGCAATGAATGAATGGGTCGACTCAGTGCCCCCTCATTGTAAGTAATTATTGATTATGGTCATCGATATATCTCACGCTTTGATCACAGTGCAATGGTCGCCTCACATGGAAGATTCATTCTTCGCTAACCAATCGGTTACACTGTACACCACCTATTACCTTATCCACATCCTCATTTACCGCCCCTTCTTACCCGGTTCACTTCGCTCCCTTTCCAATGCTGCCCCGCACGCAAACATGCCCGTCCCCTGTATCGCCATCTGTGTCAACGCAGGAAAATCCTGTGCGAAGATACTGCGGGCACAGATTCAAAGGGGTATATCTAATATACCCACGCTCATTTGCGGGTCGCACATGTGCGCTGCGATTCTTCTCATGAACTTTTGGGATTTGAAGTGGCAAGAGCGCAATCAACTCCAGTCTGGTGGAGTGGAGGATGTGAAGCCGACACTTGCGGTTGCGATGGCAGAGCTCCTTGAAGATGTCTCCTTTTTCATACAAGTGCTTGAACATCTGAAACCGCGATGGAGAAATGCCGAGATGTATCTGTACGTCACGCAAATTATTGTTTGACCGTTACTGAGGTTTGCTGCTGTCTAGAAAGGACCTTAGTAGTTCAATGCCACACAGCCTCAACGGCTCTGGAAGCGGTGGTCACAAAGGTAATCTGTCACTCCAAGGCTATGGGGGCAAAGACGACGCGCACACACTGTTGCCGCTACCAGAACATCATGCCCATCCTCCGGATTATCCCCCTAATCCCTCATCAACCTATCATCCTGCGCTGCCGCCAGTCACTAGATACCCATACGTTCCACTGGCTGAGCCCGTTAACACCAGTCCTCAGTGGTTCGACTTCCCGCACCTCACCAGACATCCAGTTCCTGCAGTGCTACCCTTGTGGGCGTCTCATGAGCTAATGCAAAGCGGGACCACCCCTTGGAACCAACTGCAAACTTGTCCCTCGTCCTTGCAATCTTCTCATCCTCACAAATACGATCATCCCGTCATTCATCATTCTCTAGAAGCTCCGAAAGCCTCAATCACCAGTCTCGACTCTGGAATAATGATACCTGCGAACCTTGTGCACAGATCTGATACAAGATTGCCATGTGACGACCCCGTGCCATGTCCGCAGTTTGAACCTGCGATTTCGTTCAATAATTATACCCAGCATAGTGGCAATGGCCAAATGCGTGAAGCCACCCATCACACGTACACCACTCATTCAGAATCCAGGTCTGTCTTTCGTTTGGTTAAAACTTAGTCTTCTCACGCTGTCCTTTGCCGTAGGTACGAGTGGCCAGCAGCTGAGTGGGAGCAAGCGTATGAACCTCGATCATTGATTGCCGACCCTTCTCCACCTCGTCCCAGTAACATACTGCATCCCAAGGGGAGTGAATACTCGCAAGGGCACATCGTCTATCCCGGGCACTATTAACATCAACGGGTAAACAAGGGATTCGCCGTCTTATGTATTTTCCATGATCAGTTTCATGGCGTTTGATGTCGAGGCCTCAGTCGATGATGTACTTATCTTCTAGTTTACATACCATCCATCTTAGTGTTTGCTGTAGATCGCGGCTGTTAGATTTTACGGTGCTTTCTGCATGCAATGAAGAGCTCCCTAGTTTATAGGACTATACAGCTGTGATAAATGATCTAAATTTCGGCTCATTGTGAATCACACATGAGCACGAGATACAGGTCAGCTGCAAATATTTCGGCCAATATTCGGACCGACATATGTCATCTCCCTGTTCCCAATGAAGGGAGAACAGCAACTGTGGCACGTTTCGCTATGATTAGGGTACGGGGTGTTACCCAATACCTCTGCGTGCTAGTAGGGGTACTATCAATAACCTTGAGAGACGCCGCACTCTTCGATTTCTTTCCGGTGTGCCTTGCACCTGACACAGATGACGAGAATCTTCAATCTTCCTTGATGGGGTTATAATAGATAGCATTTCCATGCAACGCGTGCCTATGCGTGCGTGAGATAAGCCAGCTCCTGACGCCATCTCGACAAGCGAGCGCCATTAGGAGTCGTTTGGGGTGCAATGGGGAGCGAAACATCGTGGTTTCTAGCGGTACACACGATGCCTTCAAGGCACGGAAGAGACGAGATTTCTGACGGGCCAGTGCACCACGTGCATTTATCGTCTATATTGCCGATGGGACCCATGGTAATGCTCAACCACTTCACTGGATTATGCGTGGAGTGGAAGACATGTGGCTAGAAATAAATGCTACGAGGAGACGACCGGATGAGAGGGAAACTGTGGTGAACTTTGGTTGCGTATGATTGCGCACTCAATGCGAGACAAGCGACAGTACCACAGAGTCACTGTCACTGGGGTGGGCCAGTGAAAAGACGGGCCGAGGAGGGGGAGAATAGCGCGACCAGGCTAACAGTTGACGCGTTGGGCGCCTACACAAACACAGTGTACAAGAAGCAGAAAAGGTCAAATGTAGAAGGTCATTGAAAAATTTATGCAGAATTGCATATAGTTAGCATGCCCTAGTAGATCAACCAGAACTTGAGAAGACGAGTCGAATGAATTTCGCACGAGGTTAACTTGACGTTAACGGACGTTGCCGCCGTCAGGGGTGTGCTGTCGACGGGCAAGTGGGAGTTAATTCACTAAAGATACGGAAATTCACGACAAGGATATGTCTATGCGGTACAAAGGGAATTCTATCCAACCGTCTCAACCGCGTGCAGCCAGTGCGATGCACGTCAAAATGCCTCCACAATTATCCCATGCTCCTCCGGTGGCTCCCTCAAGACTCTCCTATTAGTGAGTCAGGCCGTCAACTTAGTAAGGATTTTATACCAACACATAAGCTCGGTGACTTGAGCAATTGTGTTGGCAGTTTGATGAGCAGGGTCGCTGAAGGTCCGCGTGCCTGCAAAAGGCTCTTCTGTGCCTTGCAAACGCGCATTTTCGGATGCTGGGTTCACAAATCATGTAAAAGATAAATCAAAGAAGGAGAGGAAGTACCTTGCGATGTCGTGAACAGGTTCGGGTTCGGGCAGTCATTCAAAAGTTTCCCATTCCATCACTGGCAGGAAGATATCAATCATGCGCACCTAAATTGTTGACCCTGCTCGGCAATCCATACGACACAAGTGACCGGTAAGATTGGCGGAGCTACCATATACATTGCATGTATCACTTGTACTCACAAGCAATGAGTAAATTCACCGGTACTCGCAAAAGATAAGGAGCTCATGAGTGCTACGTCATGGCAGTTATAAAAGGATATAAATTTAATATGACGCCGCTAGCCCTAACATGAGAAATATGATTTGTCGATAAATTGGGGATGGCAGCTTGAGATCTGTTGAGAAATCCAGAATGGCGTAATCAAAGAGTGCCTGATCTGAATCCACCAAGGTTGAGCATTCTGGTTTCATGTGAAAATTGGCTTCAACCGGACCTACGAAGGTTCATGATCGTAATTTAAAGTTATTACTGGGGGGAGGAAGCAGGAAAATCTAATTGTTGAAAACTTCTGGTGAGAATCGCCGCGCAACTACAAGGTCGCCAGGGTTATTGGACGGAACGCTCATGCCAGTGGCGTCCTGAGGCACAAGAATCTGAGACAATGGTGTTTGACGAGCTCCTGCCGATGATCAATATCACATTGCGTTGCAGGCATATGAAGGATGTACAAGCAACGTATGATGATCCTCGGAAAAGTACACATTTTAACATCGTGTCACGGAGACATCCACAATCGGGATCCCGCAGAGACAAAATCGGTGAAATGAGATGTACAAGGGATGGGTCGTGATTTTCTTGATATGGGAGTACACCGCATGTAGTGGGAATACTTGGTGCGGCTGTTGCATCGAGGTGATGAGCACGCAATACCAATAGCCCGGAAGTATACGACACAGTCGTGATAGATATTAATAACACAAAACCTGCTGCAACACGAATCAAGACTTACATCGTCTAGATCTAAAAACCCATATTGGAAGTTATGGTCGATCGACGCGCAAGGCTTGATATGTCTTCTGAAGGTGTCGCTGCCTGCTGTTAGTTTACTCCCACATACAGAGTACGACGTTGGGTATGCCACACTGTCACCATCTAGATCCGACATCTGCTTCTCCCGTATCCTTCCAGCACGCATGAGTTGTGGGTTGTGTATCGTGATGCACAAATTTCTCAATGTCCAAAATAACGAAACCGTCACCTTTGTGTTCGTCAGAACTTCCCATATCCAGGACGACCTCTATCGCTTACATGACTAATGAATATCCCTGATGTTGCTTTCCGAGGACCTCGGTGCGACCTGCAGTTTGTCCTCATTCCTATCGCCCCCAACTACTTGCTCAACCCTAATCAAAAGACTGGCGTACATAGTGGATACCAAGCAACGAATGTACTCGTCCCTGCCTTGACATTGTACATTTGAACGGGGTTGGCAGACTGATTGAAGCAACTGGGCACATCCGATGCAATGCATAGATTGTCGACGACCAATAAGTACATGTGCGCAGGAGGTATCCATCGTACACCGTGGCAATGGTCATTGATCAGAGGAGTGGTGAAACAAAGGACGGTGCGATGGTCACTGCCTGCCACGAGGACCGTGACCTCCCTGGCTACAGTTAAGGCCGCCTTCTGGTGATCCATCTTCTTGGTCTACAGCAAGAGCATCATCGTCATTCCCTGACTTTTTGCCTGGATGGGAAGGCCATCTATGACTCGACATTTCTGCAATAGCCTGCCGGCGAGTCCAACTGGTCTGTGCGACAAAGGCAGCTAAAGTCTAGAACAAATTGATGACGGTTCGTCGTAAGCTTTCGGGTAAGAACATAAGAACACTCACTAGTAATACGGTACCCATGATTACTCTCTCTTTCCACCGCTCATCACTAGCTGTATCATCGAAATGAGGACGACGCGACCTAGTTGACCATCGTATCGGATCCACTTTGTGAGTAGCTTCGACCGGTTCACCAGAAACAGATGCTTTTCCTCGAAGTATGTCGTACGCTCTAGAAATGGCTTGAAATCGTGCCTGCGACTCCTCAGAGGGATAATGACGAGCGACAGCCGAGTCCGGGTGGTAAATTCGGACGAGTTCATAATCTGCTTTGTGTTACTAAAGGTCGTACGAGGGCAGTGATATAAGATGATACGTGCATCTCCGTTTCACATCCTCCTGGTTTGCACTTCGCGGTAAATGGAAAATCTGGTGCGGCTGAGGATTTGTTTGCGTTGGATAGGGATAGGGATTGGCACTTTTGGACGCGTACGAACGAGAGCTTCGCTGTAAGATAAAGAGGGTGTGCACTCGAGAACGACTCTGAAAAGTGGGCGCTCGCTGCATCAGCGTGCAATAGGCGTCGGAAGATTGGATGATGTGTGCTGGCCAGCCAGCCGCTTGCATGTCTACCCACTTTGATTGAAATTCATTGAACTGACAGCCGTTCCTTTGGGTCCCGTTCCGATCCGGTCGAATCATATTGTAAATTGGAGCTATGAGAGTACCGTACTTGCATCATATCACTACATTGTACCAAAACATTCGGGTATCATACTCGGGTATAAAAAGGGGAAGGATAACATAAAAAAGTATGTGAGTGCGTCATGATGAGGATCGCCGTTCAAGTTAGTTGGAATTAAAATTCACAAACTCACAACAAGGCGGCCAGCATTGAGAGGATCCACTTCGACACGCAGACCCAATCTGCATGACATCTACGATGAGAACCAACTTGTGGGGATACATTTACGATGCACATACCTTTTCCCATATTTTCGAATTGCAGGTTTGATCCTCGCGATGTTATTTTCGGAGTGTTTTCCCCTTCCTAAGCAATTTTGCGATCAATAAGAGACCTATTGCTGGAGTCAAGTCGATGATGGAATGTCTTACCTACGATCACACGAAGTGACGATTCTCCACGGTTCTGAAGCTCTTGAACAGCCTTGGCAAAGGCTAACTTGGCTTCTGAGACAAAGAGTCGGTGGAGATCAATCATGTCGGACCCGAGTTCCTAGGAAAAGCGTCGGACAGCGGCGTGTATGATAAGAACGACAACAAACTGGATTATTCTCTAGATGAGGCTAGAGATAAGTTGGCGAATCCTGCACGGTCTGTCCATCACTCTCATACCTTCAAATATCTTCTTGCTGGCTGCCTTATCTAAGCGCACCATATTGTATTTGTACGCCTCACCCCTCAAGGAAAGCTCTTCAGCGAGCCTTTCGTTGTTGTCAGCAGACGCTTTATCCATCTGCTTGAAACATTTTTTCATATGATCTCTTTCATCTCTGGCTTTGAGACGAAGAGAATAGGCAGCTTCATGGGGGTCAATCTCAATGAGCGATACAACAATCTCTGGAGTTCTTGTAGGTACTAATTCGGGTCCAGAAAGACGACGCGACCGCTGTGTCGAAAAGGTGAGTAGACAGCACTGCCAGATGGATCATGCTATGACAAACCTGAGAAATGCTTCGGACAGACTTTTTCACCGGAGGAACATCAGGAGATATGAGGGGAGTGGGTTGTGCAGGCAATCGTACGCTCGGTTGGCGATGAGACTGATAGGGTGTATGCTGCGAAGGTAGTTGATGAGCGAAAGGGGGTTGATGAGTGGAAGAGGATTGATGAGTGGAAGGGGATTGATGAGTGGAAGAGGGTTGATGAGCGGGAGGGGGTTGACGAGCGGAAGAAGATCGATGAGCGGAGGGGGATTGACGGTATTCGGCCGCTGGACGCAGTGGTGGCGGGTACGAGTGGTGAGTTGATTCTTGCTGCTGCAAGTGGGTGCGCTCATATGATCTCTGACGCTGCAAGTGAGTGATTTCGTATGGTGAATCAGACTCGGATATTGAAGTCCGGGGTTGTATTGGCGGTCGCGGGGACTTTTTCCCGCCAAATATGGATATTATTATCCGTAGCAACCAGGTTGGGCCCTTCAATAGGGCCTCGAGGGCTGATAATACAGAAGGGATGAACATCTGCATGATGAAGTGGGGAATGGAGACAGATCACAGGCCTGGTCGACAGTTAGACTCGAGTAGTATAACGGGCGCTACGCCAACATCTATATTCCACGATGAAATTCAACGTTACATACGCATGAATAAGAGGAGAGTCCTCCAAAGCGCCGTCCCACGAGGTCAGCCTATCATCAGAACTTAGTATGTCACAGCGGTATGCATGAGATGGACACATGATCTATATTTTGAGCAGAGGCGAGCGCTGGATGTGCCCACCTAGTACTTTAAGTCAAAACGTCTGTGGGCACGACCCGATCAAAGATACTGCCGCGATGTGTAGTATAAAGACGAGATTCAAAGTACGGGCCATACGGCCGTCTAAAAGTCTGCCGCAGAGATGACAAAGAGTCTTGTAACCAAAGTTGGCGTACAGGATGAATACATCATATCACTACATTGTTATACACTCCACCAAAACCAGTCTCCTGTACACAGAACAGAACGAAATATACCAAAACATTTGTTATCGTATCATACACACTGGAGTATGAAAAGGGGAAGGATAACACAAAAAAGCATGCGGGACTCATGTGAGTGTCGCCAAAAATTGCCTTTCAAGCCAGCTGAGATCAAGACTCATAAACTAACAACAAGGCAACCCTCGTTGAGAGGATCCACTTCAACGCCCAGACCCAGACTGCATGATACTACAATGAGAACTAACTTGTGGGGTACGTTCGCGATGCACATACCTTCTCGCACGTTCTTGAATTGCAACTTTGATCTTGGGGATGTTATTTTCGGAGTGATTTCCCTTTCCTAAGCAATTTTGCGATCAATGAGAAACCTGTTGCTGGAGTTGAGTCGGTGATGGAATGTCTTACCTACGATCACACGAAGTGATGACTCTTCATGGTTCCGAACCTTTTGAACAGCGTTGTCAAAGTACAACTTGGCTTCTGAGACAAAGAGTCCGTGGAGATCAATCGTGTCGAAACCGAGTCCCTGGGAAAAGCGTCTGACAACGGCGGGTATCATAAGAACGACAACAAACTTGATTATTTTCTAGATGAAGTTGGAGGTAAGTTGGTGAATTCTGCACGGTCTGTCCACCAACTCTCATACCTTCAAATATCTTCGTGCTGGCTGCCTTATCTAAGCGCACCATATTGTCTTTGTACGCCTCACCCCTCGAAGAAAGCTCTTTAGCGCGCCCTCCATTTTTGTCATTATACGCTTCTTGGCTCTGCTTGAAACATTTTTCCATGCGACCTCCCTCAATTCTGGCTTTGCGACGAAGAGAATCGGCATCTTCATAGGGGTCAATCTCAACGGGCGTTACAACAATCTCTGGAGTTCTTGTAGGTAAGTCGGGTCCAGAAGGACGACGTGACCGCTGTGTCGCAAAGGTGAGTAGACAGCACTGCCAGATATATCATGCTATGACAGACCTGAGGGATGTGACTTCGAACAGGCTCGTTCACTGGAGCAACATCAGGAGATACGAGGGGCGTAGGTTGTGCAGGGAATCGTACGCTCGGTTGGCGACGAGGCTGATGGGGTGGGGGTGGTTGATGAGCGGAAGGGGATTGATGAAAGGAAGAGGGTTGATGAGAAAAAGGAGGTTGATGAGCGGAAGGAGATTGATAAAAGGAAGAGGGTTGATGAGAAAAAGGAGGTTGATGAGCGGAAGGAGATTGATGAAAGGAAGAGGGTTGATGAGAAAAAGGAGGTTGATGAGCGGAAGGAGATTGATGAGTGGAAGGGGGTTGATGAGTAGAAGGGGATCGATGAGCAGAAGGAGGTTGATGAGCGGACGGGGTTTGATGAGCAGCAGGAGATCGATGAGTGGCAGGGGATTGATGAGCGGGAGGGGGATGATGAGCGGAGGGGGATTGACGGTGTTCGGCGGCTGGACGTGGCGGGTACGAGTGAGCATTTTCGTATGGTGAATCAGATAGTGAAGATAACCCCAAGGATGGTACCGGCGGTGGCCGGGACTTGCTCTTGAATATGGAGAATAGTGTCCATAGCAACCAAGCTGGGCCCTTCAATAGGGCCTTGAGGGCTGATGATACAGTGCCGATGAACTTCTGCATGATGCAGTGGGAGATGGAAACGAATCAAAGGCTTGATTGATCATGATAGTTAAATTCGAGTGGCACAACGAGCGCTACGCCGACACCTATATTCCGCGATTAAAATAATGCATGAATCAAGGGAGAACCCTGACCAAAGCGCCGTCCCATGCGGACGGCTTATCATCAGAAGTTCCAGTGTGCATGGAATGATATTCTGATCAGAGGCGAGCGCGTGATGTGCCCACAGTACCTTGAATCAGAACGCCTGTGGGTCCACATCAGTACTATTGGAAGAATCTTGGTACTGCCTTTGACAAATGGTTTAGCTAATGAGTGGGAAGCACTCCATAAGTATATAGTACATACCGTCTCATCAAGTGCTCTAGAGCTGCTTTGATGCTAGCGAGATAGACCCGGATCATAATTCTGACCTGGGTGTAAGCCTTTGCCGCAATATTGGCCTTTAGTAGTATGAATTCTGTACCATACCCATATCACGTACTAACAATCAAAGAATCTGTGAATATTCGAATCTCCGCAGTGACCGCGGAGCTTCCCTGATGCTATATCCAAGTATGATATGTCTTCTTTCAAGTTGGCGTAGAGTCCTTGGCTGACCATCCTGTTCGCATTCTTTGAGCGCTTCGAGAATCATCGATGCATCACTAGCATGTGCCTTGCGCACACAGTAGGTCCGTACTACTTGGCTTCTTCTGAGTCCCTTCAAGTCAACGCGCGCATGGGCCGCATGGTTCTGCTAGAAGTATATAGGCTCCGCACTTGTGCAAGCGAGGTAAGGATGTCGATGAGTCACGCGCACGGCCGGCATCGGTGTGCAGCAATTATGTACTGTTGTCAGAATTTACATTAAATCGTACATCTCCCACTTGAGCAGACTTTGGTATGAAAAGAGGCGGGCAGTAGTTTATGTACACAAGTTGCGAGGCACATGGAGATCACAGGAAAATTGACATTCAGTGAGTTCACTTGAGACTTACAATAAGGCAGCCTTCATTGCGAGGGTCCACTTCGATCGGCAATCCCAAACTGCACGACATACCTGGTTTAGAAAAACCTACAAAAACGCGTACTGCGATGTGCTTGCCTTTTCGCGTGAGCCAGGATTGCAGGTTTGATCTTCGGGATGTTGTTATCAGAGTGAATTCCCTTTCCTAAATAGTTTCGCTGTCATCACCGAGAAAAATTAAAAAGTTTCATTGTGTATTACCTACGATCACACGAAGTGACGATTCTTCGCGGTCTCGAGCTTCTTGAACGGAAATGTCAAAATAGGACTCGGCTTCTGAAACGTAGAGTCCGTGGAGTTTCGACTTTATTTCTGCGGTTCTGAAAAAGTTAGACAGCGCTGCCCTTGAAAAGAATACAACAAACTTGGTTATTCTCTGCACGAGGCAGGGGTCCGAGCTAGTAAGCTTCCTGTATCCTGCACGTTCCTTTGATTGATTTCGTACCTTGGAATATCTTTGCGCTGGCTTCCTTGTCCAGAAGTATCATGTTTGCTCTGTGTGCCTCACCCCTCTGGGTAAGCTCTTTAGCGCGCTGTTGGTCATTCCTAGCTTTGGCTTCGTTCCTCTCCTTGAAACATTTTCCCATCCGATCTCCCTCCTGTGTGGCTTTGAGACGAAGAGACTTGGGATCTTCATGGGGGTCAATTACTACACGCGCTACAGGTACCTCCGGTGCTTTTGCAGTAGGACATTCACGGGGGTCGATCACCACAGGCACTACCAGCGACGCTCTTGCGACAGGACGATGTGACTGCTACATGTCGAAGAGGTGAGTAAACAGCAGATGTAACATGCTAGAACAAACCTGAGGGGTGGTGGCTGGTGGGGGGTATTGTGCGCCCGACAGGCGATGAGGCTGATACGGCGAAGGCTGCGAAGGCGCTTGAAGTCTATCATATCCCGAAGGGGTCTGGGAATATCGGATCGCTGGCTGGTATGGCCTTTGCTGCGAGGAAGTAGGCACGTAGGGTGAATCTGATGGTGAACATACACCCGAGGATGGTGGCTGCGCTGGCAGGGAGACATTGAACAAGGTGATGCCAAGAGCTATTAGAACCACGAGGACCACTAGTCCACAGACGATGTATAACGTCTCCATGATAATGTGGGGGACAGGGACAAATAAAGGCCCTGGTGAAGAACTAGTGGGGACCCTAACCGTTAAAGCGCCGCCTCACGTCAACCTCGTGTTGATACCGTCAGAGGCTATTATATCACATATTAACAATGAGGCGGATATGCGAATACCCATCCAATCTCATCATTAGTATGTAGCTGTAGCTTCCACAGTAGGTTCGTACTACTTGCCTTTCTCTCAGATAGTTCCTTCAAGTTGGCTAGTGCACCGTCATGGTGCGCATGGACCGCGTTGTTTTGCTAGAAGCATACTATAGGCTCTGAGTTTGCACTTGTGCAAGCGAGGTAGGGATGGTCCTGGATACGTCGATGAGTCACTGCCGGTACAGTAATTAATTATTGAATTTGTTGTCAGAATTTACATTGGTTATGTAATTGTAGTACATTTCCCCACTCAAGCAGACTTTGGTATGAAAAGAGGCGGGCAGTAGTTTATGTACCCGAGTTCCGAGGGAGATCACAGGAAAATCGGCATTCAGTGAGTTCACTTAAGACTTACAATAAGGCAGCCTTCATTGCGAGGGTCCACTTCAATCGACAATCCCAAACTGCACGACATACCTGTTTGAGAAAAACTTACAAAGACGCGTACTGCGATGTGCGTACCTTTCCCCGTGAGTCTGGATTGCAGGTTTGATCTTCGGGATGTTGTTGTCGGAGTGATTTCCCTTTCCTGAGCAGTTTCACTATCGCAGAACAAAGTTGAAAAGTGACATTGTGTCTTACCTACGATCACACGAAGCGATGATTCTCCACGGTCCCAAGCTGCTTGAACAGAAGTGTCGAAATAAGTTTTGGCTTCTGCGACGTAGAGTCCGTGGAGATCAACTTCATTTCTGCGGTTCTAGGAAAAGTCAGACAGCGCCGCCCATGACAAGAACACAACAAACTTGGTTATTCTCTGTACGAGGCAGGGGTCCAAGTAAGCTTCCTGTATCATGCACGTTCCTTTGATTGATTTCGTACCTTGGAATATCTTTGCGCTGGCTTCCTTGTCCAGAAGTATCATGTTTGCTCTGTGTGCCTCACCCTTCTGAGTAAGCTCTTTAATACGCTGTTGGTCATTCCTAGCTTTCGCTTCGTTCCTCTCCTTGAAGTATTTCCCCATCCGATTTCCCTCCTGTACGGCTTTGAGACGAAGAGACTTGGGGTCTTCGTGAGGGTCGATTACTACACGCGCTACAGGTACCTCCGGCGCTTTTGCAGCAGAACGTTCATGGGAGTCGATCACCACAGGCACTACTAGTGGTACTCTTGCGACAGGACGACATGGCTGCTACGTGTCGAAGAGGTGAGCAAACAGCAGATGTAACATGCTAGGACAGACCTGAGGGGTGTAACAGACGGGCTTGGGCACCGAGGCAGGACGAGATAAAAGGGGGGTGGTGGCTGATGGGAGGTATTGTGCGCTCGGCGGAGGAGGCTGATACGGCGAGGGCTGCGAACTCCCAGACGCTTGAAGTGTATAATATTTTGAAGGGGTCTGGGGATATCGGTTTGCTGGACGTGGAGACGGGAGCTGGGGTTGGGATGGCTGGTGGGATGACCCTTGCTGCGAGAAAGTAGGTACATAGGGCGAATCTGATGGTGAACATACACCTGAGGGTGGTGGTGGTGGTGGTAGCTGTAGTTGCGGGGAGACATCGATCAAGGCTATTAGAGCCACGAGGACCACTAGTCCACCGACGATGTATAACGTCTCCATGATGATGATGATGATGATGATGTGGGGGACAGAGACAAACAAAGGACCTATTATGATGGTTGAGAACTAGTGGGAACCCTGACCGTCAAAGCGCCGCCTCATGTCAACCTCATGCCGATAGCATTAGAGGTTATGTCACAGTGGTATACATGGAAATAGATACATATTATACATACAGCAATCACATATCTTTGTTCCGTAGAATCGCATGTTTGAATGGGAGGCGAAAAGGTTACTGCGGCCGTAATACATCGAATCAGATTCGTCGGGTAATTCAGTGTCCACAAAAGGTATTACACTGGATGATCAAGCAAGCTGTACGATCAGAACGCCTGCATTTTGTGGATCCACTTCAACAGGAAGATTAAGCCTTTGACAAATAGTTTAGCTAATAGGCACAGAGGACCCACAAACCATACGTACTGTTTCATCAAGTCCTCTAGGGCAGGTTTGATTTTGGCGACGTTGCCATTGGAGTGCAAGCCTTTGCCTGCATCCTTGATGTATGAGTTCTGTACCGTAGTCAAAGTTCAATATATCACGTACCAACAATGAGGCGGATCTGTGAATCCCCCCGTTGTCGAGCCTCCTTGATAGCTTTATCCGAGTATGTTATGGCTTCCTTGACGTACAGTCCGTGCAGATCTAATTCGCCTGGCTCGCGGTCCTGTTTGCATTATAGAAGTATCAGAAAACGGCCGAGTCAAGTTCGAGCTCCACTAGCATGTGACGAACCAAATTGTTCTCTGTGTGATGCCAATGTCAAGCCAGACCGACACAAAGTGACTCAGCGTACCTCGGAATATGAATGCACTGGCCTCCGCGTTCAATGCCTCCATGGTACGTTCGTGTCTTTTGCCCTTCTCTGAGAGTTCCTTAGCTAGCGCACCCTCACGACGAGAATACGCATCGTGGCTTTGTTGGAAGCATTTAGCCATAGCGTCCCCTTCCTGGTTTGCTTTGGCGCGCAGAGACGTGTAGTGTTCATTCTGTTGATTGGCTTGGTTTCGGTCCTACAAATCAACCGTTAAGGATATGCGAACCACTCGCGGCCTACTGGGCTTACTTGGTATCTTAAACGATCCTGTTGGGGAGTACTAGGCCAAGCGCCCGGAAGAGGAGATAGTGGCTCCTGTGGTCGCGGTGGTCTCTGTGCACCAGTAGGCTTTTCACCTTCTGGCTGAGACGACTCTCCACAAAGTGCTTTGACGATGGAGAAAAGAAAGTCGAGTAACCCCATGATATAGCTAGTGATTGAAATGAAGAAGAATATGATAAGCCCAGCCTGAGCAGGTCAACTTGGCCTTCCATAATAAGCTTCGGGCGCCTCAAAGACAATTCAACCAACAGTCCGTCTTCTCAGATCATAGTATGTGACAGGTCCCGGTCAGCTATGCCAGCGTACATTTGAACAGCCAGAAAGCAGTCATTTGATTGCATACAGTAATGGAGAAATAATTTAGTCCTATATGATGCCCACTCCTACCACATAAGGTTGGTCCACATTCCCTTGACCGTCCACCTAAATCTCTACACCGACGAGGATGTACGTAGGATCAACCTGGAATGGTGGTTTAGTAACGACGCTGCCCCCAACGTACATGAGTGAATGTAACAGTTCGCTCAGACCGTGGGAAAACTTGTTGAATGCGATGATCAAAGCTGAGCACTGGAGTTGTTCGTCGGCTAAATCGAGGAGAGCCACAATGCTACGGTGGTCATGTAAGCACCGACGTTAGATTCTAAAAAGCAACGCACCTTTCGCGAAGAGATACTGCTTGAGCGTTCTTGCCATCGACGTAAAGTGTTTTGGTCTTTCCAGGGAGTTCGAGCACCACACCATCGAAAGAAGCACCCATATTTGGGGCGGCAACAACGACGCTCTTAGCAAAAGGCAAAAGGCTCAATCCATCACGAGGAAAGATGGCCAAAAGAAGATCCAAAGCATCTTTAGAATGCTTTGTAAGTATACCAGTGGCATAGCTATCTTCATCGTCATCTGGTGTCAAAGGCGGGGTGGCAATGTCGTAGGGCGAATTTGTTCTGACAGGAATGTCACGAGGCGGAACCGTAGATGAATAAGGCGAGTACGATGGGTGCATAAGTGAAACATTGGATGTGTTGGGAGACGATGAGTAATTCGAGAAAGAAGAAGAAATTGAAGACGCCGGACTGCCTGTCACACAGTCTGACGACCCTCTGTCGGGAGGGCATTTAGCATTAGGGACGTCAAACGCGCCACTGGAAAAGTCTCAGTGTTTGATATCAATGATGACATGAATAACTTACCCCGGGTCCACCAGAGAAGGTAGTAGAGTAGTAGTACACGTCGTCGGTGCCCTGCATGTGGCAGACGGCAAGTACACTAGGAGTAATGTCAGCAGAGAAAGCCCCATCCCCAACGGCTTGACAGCCGTTGCTGGATACCACAATCAGCTCAAAGTCAAACACGAGAGAGGGTGAAGAGCATACGCGGGGCAAATACTAAATTGCTGTTTCAAAAAATTGGACATGGATGGATTCGACATGTTCTGCCAACTTGACTGGGGTTAAAAGACTATTACGTAGGTGAGAAGTAACGCTAAAAAGTCAAGTTTGACTAGAGGCTTGAAGGAAAGAAATGAGCACTTACAGCAGGTAGCGTTTGGAATTTGTAAGAGTTGAGGTCGTGGGATGAATTCACCTACGGTGCTTGTATTTATCATCAGCACCGCTTTGCCACTCCACAACCCCCCCGGTCACTTAGTACTTATCTCGCGGGTTGTAAGCACTTGGCCTGGGATGCATTTCACTAATTAAGCCATCTCGACACAATTGGAGTACGAAGATCATATTCTCGAGCTAGAATCGTGTGATGAGAACGTGTTACACTTGCGCAGTGTAAATCAAACGTGTCAGGGGGGTCATATTACCTCTTCAGGGCAGGGCTTTTGCGGCTGCATTGCAGGATACACAGCGGTGACACTACCATCGACAGCGAGCACAACACCGCCGAACCTTCGTGATGTGAGTTCAATCCCATTCCTTTGCACACGGCTGAGTATCCAGATGGTTCTGCATGGCGGACGTCAAATAATCGTATTTTGGATGGATGCATCGATACACTATCAGATGTACCTCCCCTGGTCTCGTGCTACCTCTCTTGGCTTCGTTCGTTTCTTAGTGACTTCAAGTACTAACTATCATCTGCACAGTAAAATTCCGGCAAATACATAATGGCTGACGCAGCACGCGGACGTGGTGGATTCGGACGTGGAAGAGGCGACAGAGGCAGAGGACGTCGCGGTCCTCGCAGAGGAGGCCGCAAGGATGAGGAAAAGGAGTGGTCTGTATTCATCCATTTTCTCCTTGCGCTCGGCCTATAACATATGGTCTCGCAGGGCTCCCGTTACTAAACTCGGACGTCTGGTGAAAGACGGTAAAATCAAATCTATGGAAGAGATCTACCTCTTTTCCCTCCCCGTTAAGGAATACCAGATTGTCGACTTTTTCCTGCCCAAACTCAAGGATGAGGTTATGAAGATCATGCCCGTGCAGAAGCAGACCCGTGCCGGTCAGCGTACCCGCTTCAAGGCCTTTGTTGCCATCGGTGACTCTGACGGACATGTCGGATTGGGTGTGAAGTGCGCGAAAGAAGTTGCAACTGCCATCCGGGGCGCTATCATCCTTGCTAAACTCTCTGTCATTCCCGTGCGAAGAGGTTACTGGGGTGCAGCCCTTGGTGAGCCCCACACTGTGCCATCAAAGGTCAGCGGAAAGGTCGGCTCCGTTATGTGCCGACTGATCCCTGCTCCTCGTGGTACTGGTATTGTTGCTGCTCCTGCATCAAAGCGTCTACTTCAGCTTGCTGGTGTTGAGGATTGCTACACGCAGTCGAAGGGCTCGACTGCAACAATGGGTAATTTCTTGAAGGCCACATTTGCTGCTGTACGTGTATTCGAACTTTTTCATTGTGTTTCGCTTACATCTATTCTAGATTACGAAAACTTACGCGTTCCTTACTCCTGACCTATGGCGCGAGATTCCTGTATCAAAAGTGCCTTATGACGAGCACAGTGCTCACCTACAGCTTACAGCTGGCAAGAAGGCGTACTAGTTGTAGGTCTGGCACGGTTTCTATCATGTATTCCTGAAAAATCATATGCCCATGCATGTTTTCCATAAACACCGCCGATGATAATCTCATGCGATGTTCGGCTATTGGCTGCTTATGTAATTCAAAATTGTACCAAAAGAAACCCTGAACAGAATTTTGTGACCGACCTCGAGGGCCTTGCCACGATTGAGCATCATCTGGGTTTGTGCTTCGGGATGGTAGAGGCGACCTGCTTGATCATCTGTTCTATTTCATCAGGTCCCACTTGCAGCAGCTGGCCACAGAAGACATTATTCGCGCAAGCCCGGCTGTCGCCAGCGAAATTCGGATTGCCGATCGATCACCGATCACCAAAGGCAACTCCGAGTCCTCGTCCCATGATTCACGCAACGAGCAGCTTAGCATTGCAGGACTGTCCGTATCCAGTTTCAGCTACAGAATGACGATCATTTAAGCAGTGACCGAGTGCGAGTATCGCATCATCATGGGCTACGACCAGTTACTATCCAATTTTGTATTTGCTCCTCAACGGTCATCCTTCCCGAGCCAGTACAGCGCAGTACTAGGGGCGATAATATTTTTTTTAACTTATCGGAGCACAGTGGCTCGGTGCTCGCAGTGCCTCCGAGTAAGAATAGGCAGGCTTTCCGAACCACCGCGCGGGCACGGCGGGACCAGTAGAGAAACACCTGATATAAAGCACGTCCCCAAAGTCCAGACGGTGCCGCCAGTCTCCTTTGTCCTTGCACTTGTCTCATTGGATTGAAGACGCTGCATTGCTTGACGGCACGGCATTTGATTGAATTCCAATCACCCCTGCAATTCGGTGCGCCAACAAAACTGATTCGTTTCAAAGGCCACAAGTTCATGTCCTCCTGCAGTGCACACGATACAAGTTTCTGTTGCAGCCTAACATATTTCTATCGTAGTCTAGTCCGTTCGTACGTTCTGTTGACTATGTGAGTGTTCCCAGTTGCTAGCATTGGGATCTTTCCTAATGATGATGATTAAAGTTGAACACCTCTATTCTATCATCAACGCCTCTCGTCTGGCATGTCGCCGACTAATCTTGTTATTCAATCGATGCAGGGACAACCCTGCTCCAGACCGTCCCGGCGAGTTTCACGTTCGCAATCCTATGATCAACCTCCAAACAGCAACAACATTGTGTCACGGCGCCAAGGCTCTTCATCCTTCCCCATCCACGCCCGCTTACCCTCAGATGCATCACATACATCGTGGTCGTCTGACCACCCTGTCTCCTCGGTACCGACTCTCTCTCCCACATCGACTTACAGGTTCGTGTATTCCAGATGGGGTTGTATTCAACACTAAAAATCGCTTTGTATATTCGCAGCACGTTGTCTTGGTCTGGAAGTTCTCACACCCAAGAACAACTATCACCCATAACCCCTGAACTCTTCTACTCGCCATCGACCACTATCGCATCTCCTGAGGTGACACCTATTACCGCATTCCTTTCCGAATTCTATGAACCAGATTCAAAATCGGGCAACGGCACTCGCGCGCTGGTCCATTTATCTCGAGGCGATCCTCGACGACTGGATCTCTTCGGAGAGAGAGACAGGAAGGGTATGAAAAACACAATACTCACAGAAGCTCCAGTCAGTTACCTGGCTGATGGGGCCAATCCGCCTCTTCCCGACGAAATACATCTGACAGAGACTCCCACACCAATACCATTGACCGCGGCAAGCTGTGCGCCATCAAAGCATGGTCACGGTTCAAGGCATGAACTCGATGTTCGCAAGTCTCGTCGTTTTTGCCGGGACTTTGGAGAGCCTGTCCCATCAAATGACCCCATCTATGACGAATTTCCTACATATCTTGCAAAGGACTTGCCGACAACACCTTTATCTTCCTCTCCCCCATCTCCGCTGAGTTATGACCTCCTACCCCCACCTTCACGTTCAGAGGTCTGTAACCTTTTCTCTGAGGACGAAACTACTGCCGTTAGGGAATTTTTGAGGATATGGGGTTCAAACAAGAGGGTGAAGAAGTCTTCATCGAAGCTGCAGATGATTGAAGATGAAGCCCCAGGTACTCAGAGCGATGATGATTATTCATGGGAGGCCGCAGAAGTTGAGGACGATGTTGGAGATTCCGCGTCTTGCAGCATGCTTCTTCACGAAGTTAGCGAGATGGTGGGCATCCCGCTTGAAACATCAATGGTGGAAGGCCAGTCCTCGATCGCATCCACACCTCCAGGGCTTGATACACTGGGTCGATTGATCCAGGATAGTCATGAAAGTTCACAGATCCTATGTCTACGTTCGTCTCATCAGTCTGTCCCCCCAGACGGTGCCAACGTGTGCGACAGGACTTCGACAAGTTCCTGTCACCGTATGGATCCCCTTGACGTCGCACCTCGACATTCAGTAACCTCCAGTTTAATCCCGGGCAGTAATCCTTCCATTCGTGATTATGCGGTAGCTGCCAAGCCGATGGATGTACCTGTCATCGTAGCGCTTACCTCGAATGAAGCCTATTCGGCGGATTCCTGCGACGACTTGGTTCCGGACCGACAACTAAGCCTTCGTAGGTCCAGGTCTACCGATAGCAACCTAAGGCGTCGCGGACAGATCTTCAACGTGGAGAAACAAGTCATGCATGCTGTGCCTAGTGGCGTGGCTGATTTATGCACGTCCTATATACCTACAAGAGATCCGCCGCCGCTTCCACCTCTACCACCTCCCTCCGAATCTGTGAGACCTGTTTCGGCACTCGACAGGCTTGAGGCTAGCTTGTCAAGGCTCAAGGCGCACAATTCGCAGTCGCGGAAGTCCAGTAAAGCTAATGTGCCTTCAGAAAACCGAAGACCATCTCCATTCACTACCTCACGAGAGCGCAAGCACCACTCCAGCGTCGCCGCTCGTCTTCCGGACTCTCGTTCTGGACACGGACGTCACTTCTCGAGCCCCATGGCCGATGTGACAGCGCATCGGAACCATCGTAAGCTGCCTCGGGTTGAAACTGGTCCCATTAATGCGCGCCTGAAGGAGCGCGATGCAAAGCTATATCCGTACCCGGAGAACCCAGAGTCAACTATAAGATCATTCATGGAGATGGATGTGGTACCGCCCCCGCCTCCCCCTTGTCGGGCATCGAGATTGGGGAGAGTTGCTGCCAGATTGAGCCGGGGTATAACGAATTGGGGAAGGAATATTGGATCTAGGGGCAAGGAATCTTCATAGGGCTCTGTATGTACTGATTTGCAGCTATTGTGCGTGTGTGTTCTTTCGATTTGTCCTACGACTTTTACATTGTATCGCAAGATCTGGTAGCTATGTATCTAATGTGTATTTAGCTTTGTAACGTCCCCGATATCCTAATACTTTTCTCTGTGACACGGATTACAAATCCGATTACCTGCCGATAATGTTTTCGTGGACGTCTTCGTTCCCGAAGTCCTTCGTTGTTCTCCCGGTCACCAACGCCCCACCCTGATTCTCCTCCTACTAGTGGTTCATGCGTACCCTGCGCTAGTACCATACCATCAGGTTTCTCGGATGGTCGATATCAGCACTCCGTGTCCCGAAGAAGCGTATCCGTCCTGATTTTACCAAATTCCTTCTATTGCACTTCTGTCGTTTACGCGTACCTCACGAGGCTTTGTTTGCTCGTTATCTCCTTTTCCGTTACCCTCCCATCTGTGCGTCATCTCGGGTTACATTGAAATAACGTATGGAGAGGTTCGATCGTATAATGACTTCCTTGCTGACCCAGATCCTATACTAAACCAGAGAATTGCGTTTTCCGTGTGTGGTAAGTCATTCCCGGCAGACATTTACACCACATACAAATACTGGGACTGGGCCGGTAAGGATGTACCAGAGAATGGCCTTCCTCCTGTTCTGTACGAAGAAAAAGTCGAAATCATGGCTACTGGAGGTAAAAAATAATTTGTCGATAATCCGCTCTCATTTTTCTCGTATGTCGGCGGAATAGCCGACTTCAGCGACGAGAAGGATGACTTGGTAATGTTACCTTTCCCTTTCTGGGTCACCAAACTTGCTCAAATGTTGTCTGTAGACAGGACAAGTAGCGTATTTCTCCAAGTGGCGAAGGACATACCGCTACGCTTGATCCGATCTTTTTCCGTGCGTGAACAGGTGCAAATTACCCGTCTGCATTACTTACGTGGTTTGCTTCAGTTCTCCATTCGAATGTGGACAGACTGTGTATGTATGATTTCATCCAAGGGCGTTATCTTGATATTGAATCCCCAAAGTGGCTCTGTGGGAGTGGTGTTACACCGAATACTGGATGGGAAGCGGATATGAACACGATGGGCATTGGGGAACAATACCCCTGGACACAGGTATGGGCTGGATGATGTTTTTGCACAGATACGCAATAGTTATCTCTTAGGCGCGTGGCACATACGCGCAGGTTTACAACGAACAGCTCCTTCCAGACGGACCACTCCAACCATTCCGAACGGAACAAGGAAACTACTGGACCTCTTCTCAGGCCCGATTTTTGCGTGAACAAAGATACCCCAAGTGTACGTGGCAATCTTATTGATTGAATCACATAAGTTTACTTTGAATAGATTATTCGTTTCCTGAGTTTGAAGGAATTAAGGTCGATCAGACTGCCATGACATCCCAAGAGCGTGCCTTGGCGCGGAAAAGGGTGCAAGCCTACTACGATTTTAATCCGCAGACCAAGGAGACACAGGTGGCCTCGCATACTTGGAAGCACTTACCTGTTCCAAACAAGGAAAATACTGCTGTGCCAAATGATCATACCGTCATCCCTCACTACCGCACATTTATCGTGCATGTGAAACTTCTGGAGCATGCATACAACCACTCCTACTCATTCCAGCTCTACCACAAAGGGAATACTCATCCGATACAGCTTGTAGGTACTGTCGCAGTCTTTGCGCGGCCGGACCATTCTCCTTGTAAAGCGTGTGCCGCGCGTCGTGAGGTGGGATCCGTAGTTCGCGGAATGATTCCCATCCCTCCCGAATTGACCGAGAGTATCATCAAATCAAACAGAGGCACAGAATCAGGGACTTCGTTCGACCAGGCCCTCGCTCACATTAAAGGGGGGTTTCTTGGAAGGCTTGTGGATGCTACTGGCTTAGAGCTTGCCGGGGCTGAGGGAGGGTTGCAGGCGACCCAGGTACCACAACACTGTACCACTTCTCACAGAGTCACTCCCGTAGAACTTTCTCTGGTGTCGGCTGCTGTTGCTGAGCACGTAGAGGACAAAGATCGACCTGTCTACCTGTGTGACTGGCAGCACCATGGCGACATCTTTAATGTATACGTATCGTTCTTTATTTTGGTAATTCGCTGAATAAGATTTTTGATAGGGTGGATGGTTAGCGACTCACAAGGATTCAGTGTACTGATGCAGCGCGCCATGAAATACTTGATTACCACAACGTCAAAGTATTTTATCCCTGTACAATATCTGGTGATACATGACCCCGCCCGTTTTCTTTTTCTTTGGGTGGGCTGCGAAAAATGAAGTCAAGGATGGAAGACGGAGCTGGTGTCCACGAATGCCGGCGGAGGAAGCGAAGGATATGTCAGTCTGGGATGAACAGAAGGCTGAACTATCCCGACTGACAGCACTCTCCTTGGATATATATTACTCATCTGTTCGTGATCAACCCTCAAACTGCAAACTTCCGCAATTGCAGTGGAATATAACTTTGCCTCCTTACTCGCTGGATCCTCTTTCCTTGATGGTGCACAACATTATTCACATCCCCCTGGACTCGTGTGCTCCCATAATTGAATGCGCACGGTCAAACTATGCAGACCGATGGTTGCAAGAACGTCGTCGAGCCACTACTAGTGGAACCACTGCATGTTCTTACGGGTTTGTTGAGTTCGGGGAGTTCGTAGGTCAGGTTTGGCTAGCGAGCGTGCATGGCTGTGGTCACGCGGGAAACACTTGGTTGCAGACCGATGGGGGTGGCGGTGAACTCAGGGACGAGGCCCTGACAAGCCAATGTCACTGGAGCGGGTGAGAGCGGAGAGGGTTGGCTGTTTGCTGTCAAGTGTGTCATGTCGCTACCTGTGTGAATTCGGAGGTCGCACCGCGAGATTACGTGGTATTGAATGTACTTATCTGTCACAGCCATAAGTATCTGAGGATTGGCTATATAGTAGATGACATAATTAAGGTTTCGTTGCCAGCTGCGAGCAACTTACTCATAAGTATCTCGGTTGGAAACGAATCGTTCAACAGACACTACTCTTGGATGGTACAAGTTACCCCACCAACTTTCCCGCCGACCCTCGTCGATCTCAGCAGAAATGCATCTGTCATATCATCATCCTCCGAAACTGACATCCCATCTGAATCACAAAAGTCTTCCCGCCCAAGACCAGCACGCACTTTCTCTTCCCCGCGTTCCCAAAGCCCACAGTCCAGAACTGCTACTCCCTCCAAACCACCAACTTATCTCACTCGTGAACTCGGAGTATCCAGCCGCCAAGAACCTCCACAACCCCAACAGCAGACCAAGGAGAGGAGCAAGAGTAGGAAGAGATCACGAGAGGCAAGTAGGGCGAGGAGTGCAAATGGCAGACTGGGGGCCCAAGAATTTACTTTTGGAGACACCCTTGGAGAAGGATCTTACTCGACAGTGTGTCCATCACTCATTACCCGCACCCCCTACTCATGTCACCTCAGGTAATGCGTGCACGATATATCCGAACTGGTCAGGAATACGCTATCAAGATCCTTGACAAGAATCATCTCATTCGAAAGGACAAGATGCTCGTTGCCCTCGCAGAGAAGAATGTCCTCGTCAAACTGGGTGCCGGTCACCCAGGTATCATACACCTACACTGGACCTTTCAGGACGAGTGGAGCCTATGTCAGTACCACCTTCTTCTCTATATGCTGTGCGTGTGCATCCGATCCCGGTTATTGGCCGGCTATTCCTCTTTGGCAGATAGTGCTTCACACTGCCACGCCTGCTTTAGTGATCGGGTGCATGGAAGACGCATTTATCCGCTTTTATCGTGAACCCCCTTCGTTAATGTCCTATCAGTCTTCGTCCTTGACTTGGCGTCCAATGGGGAGATGCAATCTCGCATATCACGCCTCGGCTCCCTAAGTCTCACCTCTTCCAGATATTACGCAGCGCAGATCGTTGACGCACTGGAGTATATGCACGGGAAAGACGTCATTCATAGGTGCGTCACTCCATCACCTTTCCCGGAGGTTCTCTCCACATCACCTGAAAAAGGGTACATGTACTAAATTGCTGACGTCACTTTCAGAGACCTCAAACCCGAAAACCTCCTTCTAGATGACCAGTTTCGAATAAAGATTACTGATTTTGGTACCGGAAAGATATTAGAGAACGGAGGTTAGCTAATTTTTTCCGTGTATACGTGTTTCTCATAAGTCCCGAAGCGGACAGAGCCAAAACATTTGTGGGCACTGCGCAATACGTCGCGCCAGAGTTGCTAGAGAGCAACGAGACAAGTAAGAGGTGCGCTTATCCTTCAAAACCACATGCATATATCGGATGTCATTACATTTATATTTTCCCTTTCTTCGTTCCTGGCATCAGGAACCCTTGTGTTCGATGTTTCAAACACAACTCATCAGGGTACTGATATCTCTTACAGCTCGGATCTCTGGGCATTTGGCTGTATAATATATCAAATGATCTCTGGCCGATTCGCATTCCAAGGCCTCAGCGAATACCTCACCTGGCAAAAGATCAAGTCTCTCGACTTCACCTTCCCAGACGGGTTCGACGAAGACGCCAAGGACCTCATACGGCGTCTCTTCGTACACGATCCGACACAACGGCTCGGCGCCGGCAGTCCAGACTCTGCTCACTCATACGCGGCACTTCGGGCACATCCATTTTTCGCGTCTGTATCGTGGGAGACGCTGTGGACTGACCCTGCACCTCTTTTGGAGGCGGGGCTGGTGAAGAAGGAGGTACCTGCGACAGACGAGGTGGAGGGGGAAAAGTGGAATGATTTAGGAGAGATGTGGGATCGATTAGTGGGTGGTGATGGTGATGTGGGCAGCAGGAGTGGGGAGGGCGAGGTAAATGGGGATGGTGTGGGATGGGCAGAGGACAGTGAGGGGACGATGTTACACTCATTCAAGGCAAGATATGCGGAAGAGGGCCCAATGGGAGAGAATCCGGATTATCTTGTATGGCAATCAAGGACGAGTGAGGGGAGGATGATGCCGGGGCTGGAAGAAGATCTGGAAGAGACGCAGACGATCGTTGACGAGCACGAGCACAACACTGCATTACCGGAAATACAGACCTCTCCACCACCAACGCAGGATGGAGCGGAAGCTTTGTCACCATCAGAAGTCTCTCCTGTCCCTACTGAGATCATTCCCCCAATTATATCTGTCCACGTCCGCGGAGCGAACGGAACTGGCTCAGGCTCTAGCTCTTCTGACGGGAGCCCCATCGTTGATAGGGTGGCGGCAGATCTCAACATCAAGATGAGGATTGGCTCAGCTACCGAGGCAAAGCTGGAGCCAAGCCTATCGCGCGGACGGAATCGTGCGCAGACTCCGGTACAGGGTAACGGGCCATGTTCGAATGCAGATTGGTGCGTCATTGATGTACTCAAGTTATAGAGACTCCTAATGAACCATTTCTTTTCTTGCCCTTTGCTGTCATAGGTCAAGCCTTCTCTTACCGTCCGAATGCGTCCTATTCCATACGCGCGTCGAGGCTCGGTCACCGAAGCGTCGTGGTAGTAAACTACGTCTTCCGATCAGCGCGAGCCTCACGAAGACGAAGACGCGGCAGCTGGTGCTTACGAATATGCGACTGCTATGCGTGAAACAGAAGGGGGGTGGTCAAGTGAGCTTGAAGAGTGAGGTCGGGTTGGGCGCCGGAGATAAGGGCAAGGAGCGCGAGAAGCCGAGGGAAGGAAAGGAGAAAGAGCGGGATGCAAGTAAGGACTGCAGAAATGTGATCGAGAGTGCAGAGCCGAAAGGCGAGCGAGAGTTTGTTATTTTGACTGTCAGTCCTTTCACTCTTGTTTTACGTGGTTCACCCTGTTGATCCTCTACATGCCATGCAGTCTAATAGATCACAGACATACGCTGCAGAGACGAGCGCCATGTCTGCGATGTGGGTGGAGAAGATCAACGAGGCTCTCGTTCGGGGAAATGCGCATCTCCAGACACGGACTCAGGCATGGAGACTGGAATCAAGATGATATTCAAATGTAATGCACCGCATCTGTGAGCTTGACGACTGGAGGTTGTTATGCTTTCCTTCTTGACCTCAGGGGACAAATTCACGCGCGACTCGGGGTAACGATTTATGTAGTAATTGGTATTGGTATTGGTATGCGCGTGCGCGCATGTACAATTTGTATTACTTGCTCGGATTTGGGATTGAGTTATTGGTATGTTTGTGCAGCAGTTACTAGGGGAGCTTAGAGTCAGAGTTACATCTCAGTGAAAATCGGACAGATGCCCTCGCACCGAGTCGCACACGGGAGATCAACGGAAATCGATGGAATCAGGAAATGGGCTACACGCCGGTACTAGTGTACCCGTTCGCGCCAGCTCCTCTATCCAGGACTGTCCTATCCCAGCGCCTCGCTAATGTAACGTGGCGCAGGAGTGTTGGAAAAAAAGTCAAAAATCATCAGCGCGGTCGCTGGCAGTGTGCTAGAGATACGACTCACTACTTGCGAGGGATGATATCCCCGCGCTCCTTCTTCGCATGGTTGATTGCGCAAAGCAAAGTCGTGTGGCCCGCAGTGGTCTCTGGATATATAGAGGAGAGAATAACAGGGCATGGTTGAGACTCAGAGCTGGGTGGCTGGGTCGATGATATAGTCAGTAGCATGCAGCCGTAGCAATCCGAGAGAAATGTGTATCGAGTGGCTGCGCCGCACATATGATGACCGCAGTAGATTCGCACCTGCATCTTCAGCGGGATAGTCTTCGACAGAAGGGCTATGACGGTTTTGGTGCAGAATAGTAGGGGGATGGTGTGGGGATCTGTTCAGTGTTGAGGTGAAATGACCATGAGATGAACTTGGCTTTGGTCTCGAGTGCAAGATGACGAAAAATAGTGCATACTACCTGAGCTGGTAGCGAGGTGTCGTCATCTATCTATCTCCCTCTAACTGGAACATCCAGTCGCGAATTCGCGCAGCTGTTGTATTGTGCGTGGTGCAGACGTAGTGTCAACTCTCAATATCACACCAAGTATCGTGATTTAGGAAGATGACAATACTTGGCGATATATTGTCCTCATGTGACAACAATGAGCCGCCCCATGCAAATGTGCGTGCAATCGCATTGGTAAGTCTTGCATTCCCTGGGCATAACGTTCAGCAGGAGATTGGTGATTCTGCAGGAGAAGTCCTAGTAAGTAGTAGTAAGTCACTTCTACCTTTTCTAATGTCCAAATTTCGTTATCCCCACTGACAATGTTTACATGTGTTATGTTTCAGGTGCACATGGTTCTAACGGAGGCTCGGCGGGCCCCCCCACTGGCCCTCGCAGCCTGCCCCTCACACTGAAAGCAGTAGCTGAGAAGGAGCCTGGTTTTGACTGGGAACGAGGGTTTGACTCAGTTAACATAGTTGACACCACAGCCAAATTTTGCCCTAGGAATTGGGACTTGCCAAGTACCATGCGCCTGTAATCGTGCATTAACAGCAACATAGCCTTGCAACCGAGAGCTGGATCCACCAGTAGCATTCTTATCCATGTGACTCGTGACTTGTGTGCACATGTGCAGTGATGTTGTGGATTAGAATCTAAATAATTTACCGATAGCCTACGTAAGTGTACCGGCCTCGACGTATGCAGGGGTATATGCGTGCTTAACATGTGTTATATATTGATATACTTATATGTCCTAGGAGGTGGCAATCGACTCGAGTGGCGTTACAATGAGTGGACATTGGCTTCCTTTTTTGAATTGTCCAGAAACATATGGCCGTGTAAGAACGCTGTTCAAAGAGGGTGTCAGGATGTATCCTGGATATGATGTGCGCCACTTACACGTTGGCTTTGTAGATTCTTTTGTCTGTTTCGGTAAAGCTGAAAGTCGTCAGAAGGATATAGAGAAATGTCTTCATCTCGATCATAGAGAAACGCATCCCGATGCATGACTGAAGGTCTAAATGAGCGATGTCGACAAAGACTTGAGAGAGCTTACTCTCGGCCCAGCGGAGAAAGTCAGAAGATTAGAGTATAGTCCTGGAAGTGACAGCACATCCTCCGAAAGATGATCCCATCGATCAGGGCTGTAAATTCGTTTCGTGAGGTGGTTCAATTAAGCGGGCGCAAAAAGCTTACTCAAAATCCCAGGCGTTAGGTCCCCACATACCCTTGTCGAGGTTGAAAGCCTCTACTGGGACGTGCACGAAGCTCCCCTTCGATACGCTTATAGACTTTTGCTCCGAGATCGTGCCGTCGCTCAAGTGGACGGGGTATGATACAGGTATCTCGTCATCTTGCGTTGCAACACGGAGGGAAGAATGGACTGGAGGGACCAGACGCAATGACTCCCGACAGACATTGTTCAAGAACGGTAGGTTCTGTAGGGTGTTGTGTAGAGACTCAATTTCTTCAGATGACAACCGGGATATTGGAGTAGTTGGCACGATAGAGAGAAGTTCCGTACGAAGACGAGTTTGCAAGTCTGGATGTTTTGCAAGGAGCAGGAATGTCCACGTTAGAGCCAGGGATGTCGTATCGGACCCTGCGAACATGAAGGTATTAATGTTGTGTAATATATCTTCGTCGGAAATTCGCTGATCTGGTGGAAGGTCTGTTGCAATATTGGATTTCACTACGATTCCGTCAGCCGACCGACTGGAAGAAATGACGGTAGACTCACACAGCAGACTCAGTAAATCTTTACCGGTATATGCGGAACCGCTCTTCTGTCCATCTATAATTCTGGATTTTTTCTGCTGCACTAATTTTCCTGCTACACGGCGAATAGTTTCTTGGCATCTGTGGACGGTCTTGGCCCTCTCATCAGGCTGCAGAGCTCAGTCAGGATTGCATTCATGAGGAAACTGATGTAAACGCACGAAAAGCTTATTTAGGATGGGAAAGTAAATCCCCAGAACTGTTCTCACTGCATCTCCTTGCGAGACGGCAATCTCAAACATCTCCTTATACGCAGCAAAGAGTTCGTCCGACTCGTTCTGTATAGCGTTGAAGTTGTAGTCAAAGCCTGTGGGTGATGCATGATGGTCAGGTAAAGGCTGGGTGCAAGACCCAACATGAGTTACCTGCTAGCCCAATAACGTCGAAAGTAGCTCGGCTGATCCAGTGACAAATATCAATTTCCACTTGGCCAGAGTTCTGCTTTTCTGAGGCTACATTCTCCTCCTTCACTGCCTGACTCATATTCATCCACTTATCTTTGAGTTCCTCTCCCTTGCTAAAGACAAGTGGCACAAGTGCTCGCATATTCTGAATGGAAAATGCAGGGGTGGCGACACGCCGTTGACGTTTATGGACATGACCTTCTGCAGCCAGCATACCGCACCCAATGAGACTCGTAATAAGTCTTCGAGATTGCCAAGGTTTCTCGTAGATTGTGCTGTTCTTTAGGACGTGTGCAACGGAAACAGGGTCAAGGGGAAGGAGGCGTTCGTCCCACTACGTCAAACAGTCATTCGCGGTTCTCATATTTTACAGTCCAGTCACTCACAGGACCAAGCCCCCTTATACGGACGTTCCTGCCATATTTCTCCACATAGGCAGCATGAGTCCTGGGTGACCTGAATGGGCTTATAGAATGTGTGAGCAGAGTGGTCTAGTGAGAGAGGCAAAGAACTTACTCGAGGACAGGTGACATGTGGTTGTGCAGTGGCCCATTTAATGGTGGTCCAGCCAACTTTCTGAGGGGGTTGAACCGGGGTGCTATAATGACAAGGTATACAACATAACTTGTGAGTAATAGAGCAATAGCAGAACAGAAACTGAAGAAAATAAATGAGACTGATATCATGACGCGCTCTACCGTCAGCCAGAAGTGGAGAAATTTAGTGGTTCAATGCAACGCCGAAACAACATGGATATATATCTCATGGCTAGAGGACAATAGATTATGTGACACGCGGTCACACACGCGTCTGTCACGTTTGTTATTGCATTTCCGATTTCATTCTGGGGTTAGCATGAGGCTTGTTGCAGGCTTGCCAACGTCTGTCGGCCTGAGTCCAATTTCCCTGAATTGATACCTTCAATCCGCAGCGTGCTTCCGTTCATTATGATAGAATTGGCTAATTTGTTTCTAATTTACGGACGTGGCAGTACAATAGCAGGAGGAAGAGGGAAGTCATCGAGGTCCACTGCACTATAGCTGCTTGCCAGGGTCGCTAGAGTTATCTGGGAGCCGAGAAGGTCCCGAAGGTCGGGTCGTAGTAGGCCTTCGCATCCTGGTGGAAAAAGTAGGTTTGCGATCAAGGGTGTCGTCATGGTGTTATCGCCGGGTGCATGTTCAGTTTCTGTATCGGATGGCTCATCGTCCTCGTCGCCTGCTGCTTTGAAGCCCAGGGACAATAGAATAGGCTTGTCCATCTGCATGCTCCTCGTTTGAACTCTTCGCAGCTCGAACATCTCCTCTCTCAAGCTTTCGCGGTCTGCGCTTGTTCCAGTGTCGACAGTCTGCAAAGATGCCGTGGGTACCAGATCCAAGCCAGAGGGGCTCATGCTCATTCCTGTGGATACAGATTCCAGAAAGCCTACATCATGAGCATCTCCCCGATCTTCACCATATCCCTCGACGATAGAGCCAGCTTCGACTGATTTTCGAATGGTGGCAAATGATTTGGCTTGGGATGCCCCGTGGGCAGACGATGTGATGGCAATGGAATCTAGAGAACGCTGTATGGCAAGGCCCAACGTAAGGGCGATCTCACTGCCACTCTGGCTTTGACAGTCATCTTCACACTCCTCGAGTATGCAATGCAAAAGCGGCCTCGGGTAACTTAAGGAGTTCGGTTCTGGCGTATATGAAAAATCTGACCACGTCGTCCGCTGCGGCAACTCCGCCGATCGATCTGCAGGAGTCCGTGATGCATGCGATGTCTCCGTTGGGGATTCCGCGTTCTTGTGATGCAAGATGGCCCGAGCCTTCCGGAAGATCCGCGAGAACCAGGAGGGTGTCGTTCTCTTCACGGGACGAGTCGCGTGTTTTAGATGAAACGCCAAACTCTCTGTGGACGTGGGCGAATTCTGAAGCGACGATGTAGATGAATCTGGACTCTTCTCATCGAAGACCTCCTTCCCTTTGTCCGGCACTAAGTCTGTCCCATCCTTGTCACTCCCCTCTATAGTTCCCTGGCGACGTCTCCGCCGCCTCATGATCTCTCCTCCGACGATAACGCCTACCAGGCTCCCCATAATCACAATGGCAACGACAACCGCCACTAGCGCATTGCCTCCCGACCTCTCGTTTGGAATTGTAGGAGGCAATTGCTGTGCAAGAATTGCCGTTGGCGCCTGCTCTGCCGTGATGAGTTGCCCGAGCAAGAAGGCACCACTCGCCGTACTTTCCGGGTGTGGTGTAGACGCCGATTCCGCTGGAAGCATGGATGTTGGATATGTAAAGAATGAATTGTACCTGGCAAGTGTCGTATTGATTGCCCCCTCATAGGGAGCTCGATGCGTATGTCCGAATATGCGGTAGTGAATTTTGCGTTTCCCCGTACCTGTAGCGAACGTCGTGGCGGTAGTCGGAGGCATTGCTTATAATGCCAGGTGGGCTGATAGCACGGCGAGTAGGCGGTAATACAATAAACAGGTAGTGGTGGAAGCGGTGAGGATGAAGGTGGGACAACCTCTGCAGTACTATGATCACTTGCAAGGTGGCTGACCCGCCCCTCAAATACACTTAGTTTGACGCATTTCCTCGGCACCCAAAGTAACATTCATGTTCTTCGCAATTGCAAGCAAGTAGCTGGAGCTGGGTCATTACCTTGCATAATGTTGCGACCAAAAATGTTTACATTTTTAAACCCGCACCGCCAAAACAAAATAAATCTAGCAGCAACTGGTTTCGATCCAGTGACCTCAGGGTTATGAGCCCTGCACGCTTCCACTGCGTCATGCTGCTGTTATTTGTTCGGCAGAGTTTGCCTATATTACAATCGCCGACCATTTTGTCTAGGAAGATTCAATTCGAGAATCTAAGCTGAGCAACAGGAAACTGACGGTCCTCGATAGAGAGTCAGATTGGCGAATACTTTGAGAAAAAAAGGGACTTCGAAAGTTTTGGGTGAAATACACACGGGATTTGACGACGAACAGACTGATGCAGAGTGTCTTGAACATTGCAGTGGGTGAACTCGTAAGTATGAAACACTGGATGAGGTGGGCGACTTGGAACGTGTTCGACACGCTGTGCGATCGTGGCGTGTGAAGATGTGAAAGGGGTGTTCGATTATGGATAATCCGCATGATGGACGAAGTACTTTCAACCTCGCACTAAATGGAAGCACGATGAAACGAGGATCGAGTGGTAACAGAATAGATGCCAGGCTAGATAAAGCATCAACTAGAAAATAGCTTTCACAACGTCAGAGATGATGATACCAATCCTAGAAGATGCACATTAGTACAAGGGACGACGACACGAACGATGGCGGGACCATGCAACTACGTGGAGAGGATCTGTCACAATTATCGGAAATCAGATCGGTGATTTTGCTAGCATTAGTGTTGCAGCCGAAGTGAAGTAACTTTGAAAATGTGAAACTTCGTTGTCAACTTGTTCAGAAGTCAGTCGAAGTGGCACATCGTCCACTGGCATCCTGAGTAGCGTGTCGAAGCTGAGACAGCTGGTCACCCAACAGTCCTGCTCATCCATTTGGACCAGTTGGTGTACTCTGGCGAATGGAAATCCTGTTTTCGGAAACGAAGAATTACGGAAGACCAGGTGGCTGATAAAGCAATGGTTCTTTATCGAAATCACCATTTCCCTATCGCCCATCTGAGCTGTCCGTATAGATGGACTACGAGGGGAGAACAAGTAGGTTGCAGAGAGTGGGAGCTTACCCTATATGAAGGCTTATAGAAATGCTTGTCTTGAGCGTTGAAACGCATGGTTGGTTTGATCGACAGATGAGCTCGTCGTTCTGGGGTGGGTCGGGATAAAGTCTAGGACTAGACACAGATCAATAACTAGGCGAGTCAACGCTCGAGGACGGCGGACGCATGAGCGCTGCTGTATCGACGGTCAGCCTAGCATATGTCATTGAGAATTTAGTGGAACAGGGTGAACAACTTACAGCTGGCCAAAATCAGACGCCTTTGATAAGCCGCGTCTCCAACACTAGTGCCAATTTTTTGGGGGGTGCAGTTGGAACGCGCAGATCAGCGTGGGTGTATATGGGCAGGCGTTGTCAGATCATAAGTTTGAAGAGAGGACGTGTAGGAATAGGTAGGAATAGTAGAGGAATAGAGCTATTACTAAGCACTAATAGTTTGATCTCGTAAGGCTCAAACTGCCATGGCTGAGCATGATAAAGGTCCCGACAAAGGTGTTCATCCGATGGATGATCTCACTGGTCAACCGGTCACTTTTGATTCGCAACCATTACCAGCTACAACTCAAAACAGAAATGAAAAATACAATGGCCATCGACACGAACCTGTACAATCAGAAATCGGGCTTCTTGCGTGTTACCGTAGGCTTCTTGTCTCCCATCTGCGATTTCTCTTTCAACCTGGCGTCTTTTATTTCACGGATATCAACTACACAGCCTGACTCAGCACTGCTAAGCACGACCAGCAACGAACGAGATACAGATATGGATACATCCATACACCCGTTGGCATTGATCATAGTAATCGTTCCTGGAGCAAGCAGATTAGGGTTCGGGATAAAACTCCTTGCTAATTAGCGTGTTATTAACTAGCTAATAGCCTGCTAATAACTCGTCCCCCAAAATCACATGGCTAATAATGTTAATGACTCTCTAAGTCGACCCACCGGCTAGCTTCTACTGACATATTATTGACTTATTTGGGTCAAATTCGAAAGAGGGCAAACGGAAACATGATGCAATGAACAGCTTACTGTCAACCAATAGCCGTGATGGTGATGAAGAGATTGAAGAAGACGAGGCTGGTACTTGGTTGGATGATGTGCAGGAGAGTTCCACGACACTCGACGACATTGAATTCGATGCAGAACCCGAGATAGACTTGAGTGTTGATGGGTTCCTTGTGGTGTTGGCTGACTCGGCTCCTGACGGTGCAGGGAAGAATAAGGGTAAGGGTAGGGCTGAGGAGATACAGGTGCTTGATAGTGGTGATGACGAGTGGCCAACGGAATGGCCTTAGCTAGTCTCTTTTCTGCGCTGGCTAATTAGCCAGAGTTTTTAGCGACTTCTTAGCTGGCTAAAAAGCGGTGTCACGTGACTGGCTAAAAAGCAGCTAAAAAGCCGCTAGTTAATAAGACCCTCGCGAGCCTACCTGGCTAAAAAGCTTGCTAATATTTGGCCGAATAGTTTTATCCCGAACCCTAAAGCAGATGATCACTTGCTATAAGTGAATGAAGCGTCTGATAGAAGCTGTGGGAACCGGGTAAAACGAGGAAGATTTGAAGATATCTATAAATCTACCGCAACCAGGCTTGGAGGAAACGAGAACGAATCACCGTTTCGTTCGTTCAAGTTCTCTGAGGCATCACAGTATCATTGGCTAATAATATCACAATTGAGTTGTACATCAGATAAGAGCAAAAACTTCTCATTTCAACAGAGGCCGATGGTTCCGCATACACCTGCATTCCCTCAAACTTCACTGGCAGTACTCGTCCCACTCATCGACATCGACAAGTCTACCTGAGTGTCTAACATCATTGTTGACATGGGTGCGTGTACATGTTCGTTGCTACGTCGAAGGCGGAATAGAATTCGTGATGCCAGGACGCTGTGAGCGACCAGCTGTAGCCTAGTGCAGTGGGTTCAAGATCAACTAGCGGTCAGAGTGCAGCCGGTGACGTACGAGTCAAACATATTGCTGTAGGCACTCTGCAGAAAAGAACAGAAAGTTAGCGAGTCGTAGGATTTGATAGACCAGACACGTACTGGAAGTGCACCCTCAAAGATAACATTAGCAAGTGTGACGGCTTCCTTAAACACGTTAGTCAATAACATCTCAAGAACCAACTATTTCCACGCACTGAGGATGCACAACATGTAGAACATGCCATCGTGATATAGGGTTACTACAATTCCGCTCTGAAAATTTTTATAGTCGTGAACCCTCTTGTATACATTAAGTATCAGCATTACTGCCAAGTTGTTACGGGTAAGAATGCTGATAGATAGCTTTGGATCATTACTGACCACTTTCAAATATCACCAAGAACAAGTATACGATCGCAGCGTTACGTGTGCTCTCGAAGTAACAGGTTCCTGGAGGGGGCTCCTCTGATAGTCATATTAGAACGACTTTCGTTCGTGAACACTAATGAACTCACCTCCTGGAATCAACATTGTAGGAGCCAAGTCTGCAGCAATGGCGGCGATGATTGTCAACTATGCAATAATAAAAACCTATGCTATCATTCCTGCTCTGTAAAACACGCACCACACTATAAACAACTAATCCGATCAGCAATTCTTTACTCTTTTGCCAGAATGCCCAGGTCCGGATAACCAGCAAGGCTACCAAAGAAGTAAGACCCACCGTGATCTTAATATGCATGTAGAACGCGCACCTTCCGCAGCAGCGATACATATGACGTGAACGACTGAAATTCACATTGTTCAATTTGCATGAGTTTATGAACCGTTTGGCAGGTAGACTCACTGTATTCTTCTACAGTAGAGGCACACTTTCTCCATGCAATCAGCTCAGCGTAGAAACTATTCGCCACCCAAGCTTACCTGATTGCTGACACGTAGTGCATCTAAAATATGCTCATCAGGAACACATAAGATAAGGAGAATTGGAGTAGATCACTCGCCATATGCGGTCATTCCAACCCCCGCGAAAGGCAAATATCGGGAGATGATGAATATGACACGAGTTACATCCCATGGTTTGAACCAGGTCCATTGCACCTGTGGGGAGTGGTCAGAACAACAGTCGCGAACAGGCAGATATTTTCTCCACCTCTTCGGAAAAGGTGATGCAATAATCAAACACCTGCGACGTCAAAAGAAATTTAAAATACAAAAAATGTGTTTGATACTCACGAGGATTGCAAGACTACCCACTAAAAATAGTCAACGCTGCCATCCAGTTTGTAGACGATCCGCAGACACTCACAATTGGCGTACTCAATCATAATGTTAACTTCGAGTTTATCAGAGGGAAGCTACCCTTCACTCACCTTGACCGTCTGCAACTTCGTTGTGTCTGAGACCGATAGTAGGGAAGACATATCAGGATAATAACGGTACTCAGTGTGTACCTTGTAGTACGTGTCCGCAGTCTTGAATGAAGCGACGGTGAGCGTTACTTAGTGTGATAGAGTTCGATGGGCATTGGTATGAATTTAGTGGATTGAAACTGCTTCAGTTATTTTAAGCCTGATACTGCAGTGATACTTATCAGCGATAATAATAGGATCTAGGTGCCATGCATTATAATATGAGATGTCGAGGATTGAAATGACTGCAAACGCTGACTCGGATAGGGCCTGCAGGCAGTGAGATGCAACTTGCGGGAAATTCGGAACCAGCAAAGATGTACTGTATGATTCAATTGAAGGAGACCAGAACTGAAATGTTACTAATCAAATCAAGGTTGGCTGGGTTGCTTGTTTGATGTTACCGTGTGTTGCATATGAGATTGCAGCCGTGTTTTTCAAAACTCGGCGGCCTCGCTAGCGGAACCGGCGCTTTTACACCCTAATTAGGTCAAGGGATGTGACATGTCACTCTAGCCAGGGCCTGCCGCTTGATGAAACGAAACCTGAGTCAGTTCGTTATGGGGCCATTCACTAGCCAGTAAATGCACCAGAATATCTTATTCCGGCGGTTTGAAAGCATAGGACAGCTCTCAGCTTGCTCAATGCTAGCCTCGGAGAGGGCAGTATACAAGATGTCACATCCCTTGACCTAATTAGGGTGTAAAAGCGCCGGTTCCGCTAGCGAGGCCGAGTTTTCGTACTGCAATCTCATATGCAACACACTGTATAATCAATGATGTTACTGATACTGATGGCAGATGGGCCATAGCAATGTCACTGGTTGGTGACCTAATTAAAGGCGTTTATAACGAGCGCGAGAACAACGAGGAGTCTAGAACGAGAAAGATCTCAGTGTCTTGAACGAAACTCTATTACAAACGGTGCGTCTACCTAGAACGAGAAAGCTACAGCTAACGTTAGACGTGTTAACAACTCTAGGTGACTTTTAGAACGTACATCTCAGTGTCTTGAACGAAACTGAGATGCACCTGCGCTACTGGTACTGGTCTTATAGTAAGTGTGTCAGGAACTTGAATATATGAATGAGAGACTGAAAATAATCTAGGATGCGAGCCGATGTCACTCCACCGCTCGCCTATGTCCATTTTGGCTTGAGCTCGTACCTATCACCTCCCGGACATCCTTATCTCGGATCCTTCGGCTTCTCTCGTCTCGGACGTCTCGGCTTCATAGTCCAACACTCCCCCTCGAGCGCAAGCCACGCTCATCAGCATCCTCAACTTCTGGAGTCGTGGTCGTGGGAGCGCCTTCGTAAAGGCGTCAGCGACGTTGTCCTCGGAGGGGCAGTAGAATAACTTGAAGGTGCCGTTCTTGACGTGTGAGCGGACGAAGTGGTATCGAAGGTCGATGTGCTTGGTGCGTGACTGGAACTTTCCATTGGATGCTAATGCTATCGCAGCTTGATTGTCACAGAACACGGGAATGGGATGTGGGACGGGGTCGTAGAGCTCTTCGATGAGCAACTGAAGGTAAAGTAATTCGCGTATCACACTGGTCAGGGCGATATACTCAGCCTCTGCCGTGGATAGCGCGATCAGTGGTTGCTTACGGGCACTCCATGCCACTGGCCCTCCGTTTAATAGAACGACATACCCGGACATCGAGTGTCGGTGGGGTTGGGACGCCCAGTCTGCATCCACGAAGGCTTCAAGGCCGCCGTCCGTCGAACCGAGTGTCAGCTCGTAGTCTCCCATTCCCTTGAGGTAACGTAGCGCCCTTTTGGTGGCCTCCCAGTGGGGCCTACCAGGATTGCGCATGAATTGCGACAGCGTCGCGACGGGGAATGCTATATCAGGCCTGGTGCTAGTGGCTGTGTACATCAGCGAGCCAATGGCTCGCTGATACGGCACGTCGCGCATGGCCTGGATCTCCTGCACTGTGGCAGGTCCCTGCTCAACGGACAAGGTAAGTGTTGGCTCCATCGGCGTCTGCGCACTCTTAGCGTCTCCCATGTAGAAGCGTTCGACGATCGTGTCGACATAGGCTTTTTGGGAGAGGGTCAAGGTACGTGCACCACGGTCTCGTGTTACCTTTAGGCCTAACAACCAGCTTAGCTCGCCTAGGTCCGTGATTTCGAAGAATTCGCGGAGGTGGGACTTGAAACGGGTGATGTGGGAGGTGCTGTTGGCGGTGACGGCCATGTCGTCCACGGAAACGGTGATGACGACGTGTTCTCCCGGTGCCCGCCTGTAGTACACTGCCTGGTCCACCTTGGACCGGGTGAATCCTATCTTCGCAAAGACTCCCGCTAACTCCTCAGCCCACTCAAAACCGGCCTGCTTCAAACCAGGTAAGCTCCTTCGCAGCCGCAACACCTTTCCTCGCTGACTCTCCGTGAGATAGCCGGGTGGCGCGCGCATGTAAATCTCCTCCTGGATACTGGCATACAGGTACGCACTTTTTATATCGACCTGGTGGATCTCCCAGTCGTTCTGAGCCGCCATTGTCAGCACGGTGCGTATGGTGCTCATGTTGGCTGTCGGCGCGAACGTGTCGAAGTAGTCGACGCCGAATTGCTGCCTCTGGCCGTTGGCAATGAGGCGTGCCCGCAGTTTGAGTTTTTCGCCGTCGGGTCCATGTTTCGTGGCCAAAACGAAATGGCAGGGGATGAGGTTAGAGCCACGAGGTAAGTCTACTACTTCCCACGTCCCCAACTTCTCAAGTTGACTAATCTCGTAATCAACAGCTTCTTGCCACTCTACTCCATCCGGTCCGTTTAACGCCTGCTGCAAGGTGGGCTCTGGTTGGGCAACTGCCAAGGCAAGTTGAAGGTGAGTCTCTTCGTCCACTAAATCTACCTCTGACGCTTCCAACAGGTTCTCCATCGCTATGGCTGCTGCATTGCTGCCTTCGTTCAGGCTCGCATAGTAGCCTGGAGGAGGTCTTGCCCTCGTCGTCCTTGGAGGAGTAGATGGCTGAGGTTGCTGCTCGGTAGATGGTTGAGGTTGCTGGGCGGTAGATGGTTGAGGTTGCTGCTGCAAGGTAGTGGTGATGGGCTGGACGCTATGAGGTAAGTTATTATTATTACTGTTGCCGCTGTTATGTTCGTTAACAGCGGTAGGCTCCCCCTCGTCCAGTGCATCCACCAGGATCTCTGCCGGTGCAAAGGTGAGGTTCCTCTCCACCGATACACGGCGCTTCCCCGGCCAGTTGTCATATCCCGCGTTCCGGACCCGGACCTATCACACTCATCATTTCCGGATTTCCGGATCCGGCCGACTTCTATGTATCGTCCGGATCCGACCCGCGTCTAACTTCCGCGCCTTATCCCTTTGGTATTTCCCTTATCAGTTAGTACACTTTATTTTCCGTTCCTCATTCATCTCCGTCTTCATTTTACTAAGTTCCGATAGACTAGTGATAGTCGTACCATATGTTTTCTTCATAGCTTTACATAGCTTCGCACTGCACTTACTATTCTCCGTTATGTCCTCAGTAGTATATAAACCCCTGTACAATCTCTGTAGTTTCCTCAGTTCGAATATCATATTAGACTCTGCTCATTCTCTCCTCCGTCCGACTTGAGTTTCTCTCTCGTCGACCTCCGCTCGTCTTAGGATCGACTCCTATAGACTTGACACCTCCGCCTCTACCTCTGGTAGTCCTCCGCTGTTTCCTTTCTAGTTCGGACTTCGTCCGGATTAGTCTTATCTCTTGTTTCCGAACGTCCGCCGGAATTCCCGCGCATCGGACATCGCCCGACGCCCTCCGGACATCGTCCGGTAACCTTCGGACATCGTTCAACAACCCTCGGAAGTTAGGGGCACGTACTCAGGTAAGGGGCGCAGCGCACGAGCTGAAGCCAAGCCCTTCGGATCCGACCTTTGAGCACGTTCTTAACACCAGTACACCCTATAACCCTTGCTTTCAGCGTCTACCCCTACGAATATCGCCTCCTCCGCCTTCGGCTCCAACTTCCCTGCATCCAGCACGTGGACGAAGACTTTCGCCCCAAACTCATGGGCGCGCGACAAGTCTGGCTTCGCCTTCCGCACCAGCTCGTATGGCGTCGTGCCAGGGGTGGACCTTGATGGTAAGCGGTTTTTCAACCAAGTCGCGTAGTTGACTGCCTCCGCCCACAGGTACTTCGGGAGATCTCTCCCTATCAGCATTGCCCTAGCGTGCTCGACGAGGGTCCTGTTCAGGCGTTCGGCTACGCCATTCTGCTGAGGTGAGTCGTGGACCGTCAACTGACGTTCAATGCCCTTCTGATGGAGGTATAGGTCAAACTCGGCGCTGAGATACTCTCCCCCTCTGTCCGAGCGGACCTTTCGCAGCCGAACTCCCGGCATCTGACGCGCCAACCAGGCTTCATAGCCCTTAAATGCGGTAAGTGCCTCGCTCTTCAGTTTGAGAAACTGAACTTTGGTCTGTCGGCTGTAGTCATCCGTGAACGTGACGTAGTATAGGCACCCGGCGATGCTCGCCGTTTGGGCAGGGCCCCATAGATCAGTGTGCACAAGTTCGCCGTAGGTAAGTGCGCGGCTTGTGCTCTCCTCTGGGAATGGCTTCCTCGTTGACTTAGCTTGGACGCAGGCTTCACAAAATTCGGCCTTCGACGCCTCATCCAGTTCTAGGCCGGTGACTAGGCCCTTTCTGATCGCATCGGCGGCTGCAGTCTGGGACACGTGTCCCAGTACTTTGTGGGCGCTGCTGACGGTGAGCTTGCCTTTTGCGACGTTGGCATGATGCTGACGTTGTTGTCCTCCTGCGACGCTATACAGGCCTTCAACCTGCGGGATCTCCGCAATGACCTTTCGGTCCGGCCCTTTGGATAAGAGCTTGCACATCCTGCCCTCGAACAGCATGGCTAGACCAGCTGCCGCGATACGGTTCGTGGAAATTAGCGTAAAGGCCATCTTCGGTGCGTACAGTGCGTTTTTTAATGTCACCCTTGTACGTTTCTCACCGAGCGGTAGCTCCAGGTGCACATCCCCTCGCCCAATGGCACTCAAACTGGAACCGTCGGCCGTCCGAACGTCTTGGGGAGGGATACTCACGAAGTTCGTGAACTTGGCCCTATCAGGGCAAAAATGGGAGGTCGCGCCCGAATCTACGATGGCGCCTCGCTTTTCGACAGGTACGTTTAGCTCGCCTGCCACGCTTGCCAAGTCTGACGTGACAAAGGCATACTGGTCGTCGTGGGGCTCTGGCTGTGTGGCTGAGTTGGCTGCCTGCTTCGGCGCCTTCTCACCTCTCCTCTTCTGTTGGTTGGGACCTTGTCCCTCCTTCCCACCACCCGGACGCCAACAGTCGGTCTTGTAGTGGCCTTTCCGGTCACAGTTAAAACAGGTGACGTCCGGATTGGCTTTGGCGGCGCCTGCTGACGCTCTACCTTTCCCTTTTGTTTCTCTCGCGGAGAGGGCGGAGCCAGAGGCTCCCTTTTTGGTGGGACGACGTTCGGTGAGTAGGCGATGCTCATACTCTTCGGTCACGATGCTGATTAGCTCGTAGGAGGTGATCGGAGTTTTGGTTATCCTAGCCGCTGCGCTGATGGAGGATAGGAGTGGTCGGTAGGATTCTGGGAGCGAGCCCAAGATGATGGCGTGGAAGTCGTTGTCGACGATACCTGCGCTCATTCCGGCCAAGGACTCGCGGAGCCTCATGAGCTCTGCGAAGTGGGCCTTAACGTCCCCTCCTTCATCACAGCGTGTCTCTTGCAACCGACGCCGTAAGTCAATTTGCACGAGTTCAGTCTTACCCTCGTGAATCTGACAAATCTCGTCCCAGATCTCGGAGGCGTCCCCAAGCTTCTGGACGCGCAGTAGTAGCCGATCGGTGATCGTGCTAAATATCTGCTGCTTCACGAGTGAGTTTTTCTGGTGATACTCGTCGATCTTGTTATCGAGCTCGTCTATTTCAGTCTGCGATGGCATTGACCCGTCAGGCTTTTTAACGGCCTTGGTTTTCGGATCGACGACGAAAGGAATAGGCTCGCAGACTCGACCATCGGTATATCGCATCAAACCTCGCGCTCCAATAGCCGTTAGTGTTCGTTCTTTGTAAGTAATCCAGTTCGAGCCGTCTTCTGCGAGCTTCGGGATATTGAACAGGCTGGAGTTGGTAGCGGGGAGCGTAGATTCCATGATGGTGGCAGGGCTCATAACCTAAAGGCGTTTATAACGAGCGCGAGAACAACGAGGAGTCTAGAACGAGAAAGATCTCAGTGTCTTGAACGAAACTCTATTACAAACGGTGCGTCTACCTAGAACGAGAAAGCTACAGCTAACGTTAGACGTGTTAACAACTCTAGGTGACTTTTAGAACGTACATCTCAGTGTCTTGAACGAAACTGAGATGCACCTGCGCTACTGGTACTGGTCTTATAGTAAGTGTGTCAGGAACTTGAATATATGAATGAGAGACTGAAAATAATCTAGGATGCGAGCCGATGTCACTCCACCGCTCGCCTATGTCCATTTTGGCTTGAGCTCGTACCTATCACCTCCCGGACATCCTTATCTCGGATCCTTCGGCTTCTCTCGTCTCGGACGTCTCGGCTTCGTAGTCCAACACTAATCTCCTCCCGAACTTCTCATTGGCCAATAAATCATAATATCACAATTGAGTTATATATTGGATAAGAGTATAAGCTCAGAGGCCGATGACACCTTATACTAGTACACCTACTAGGCTACATTCCCTCGAACTTCGCTGGTAGTACCCATCCCACTCATCGACATCGACGAAGGTCGTAAATAGTTTAGCTGAGTGTCTAATGTCATGGACGGTACGTAGACACGTTCATTGCTATCCCGAAGACGGAATAGAATCCGTGATGCCAGGACGCTGTGAACGACCAGCTGTAGCCTAGCGCAGTGGGTTCGAGATCAACTAGTAGTCAGAGTGCAGCCGGTGACGTACGAGTCAAACATATTGCTATAGGCGCTCTACAGAAAAGAACAGAAAGTTAGCGAGTCGTAGGATTTGATAGATCAGACACGTACTGGAAGTGCACCCTCAAAGATAACATTAGCGAGTGTGACGGCTTCCTTAAACGCATTAGTCAATGACATCTCGAGAGCCAACTATTTCCACACACCGAGGATGCACAACATGTAGAACATGCCACCGTGGTATAGGGTTACTACAATTCCGCTCTGAAAGTTTTTATAGTCGTGAACCCTCTTATATACATTGAGGATCAGCATCACTGCCAAGTCGTTATGGGTAAGAATGCCAATAGATAGCTTTGGACGATCACTGACCACTTTCAAATATCGCCAAGACTAAGTACACGATCGCAACGTTGCGTCTGCTCTCGAAGTAACAGGTTCCTAGGGGGGGCTCCTCTGATATTCACATTAGAATGACTTTCGTTCGTGAACACCAAATGAACTCACCTCCTGGAATCAACAATGTAGGAGTCAAGTCTATGGCAATGACTGCAATGATTGACAACTATGCAATAATAAAAATCTATGCTATCATTCCTGCTCTGTAAAACACGCACCACAATATAAACAACTAACCCGATCAGCAATTTTTTACTCCTTTGCCAGAATGCCCAGGTCCGAATAACTAGCAAGACTACCAAGGAAGTGAGACCCGCTGCGCTCTTAACATGCATGTAGAACGCGCACCTTCCGCAGCAATGATACTTATAACGCGAATGACTGAAATTCACATTGTTCAAGTTGCATGAACAGTGGCAGGTAGACTCACTATATCCTTCCACAATAGATGTACACTCCCCATGTAATCAGCTCAGCGTAGACCCTATTCGCCACACAAGCTTACCTGATCGCTGACACGTAGTGCGTCTAATATATGCCCATCAGCAAGACAAGATGAGGAGAATCGAAGTGGGTCACTCACCATATGCAGTCATTCCAACACCCGCGAAAGGCAAATATCGGGAGATGACGAATATGACACGAGTTACATCCCATGGTCTAAGCCAAGTCCATTGCACCTGTGGGGGGTGGTCAGAACAACAGTCGCGAACAAACAGATATTTCCTCGACCTCTTCAGAAAAAGTGAGGCAATAATCAAACACCTGCAACGTCGAAAGAAATTTGAGGTAGAAACACAAGAAATGTGTTTGATACTCACGAGGATTGCAAGACCACCCACTAGAAAAATAGTCAATGCCGTCGTTCAGCTTTCAGACGATCCGCGGACACTCACAATTGGCGTACTGAATCAGACGTAATGTTAACCTCAAGTTTATCAGAGGCAAGCCGTCCTTTACTCACCTTGACAGTCTGCAACTCCGTTAGGTCTGACACCGATAGTAGGGAAGACATAATACTCAGATGTGCCTTGTAGAAGCGCCTACTCGCAAGTCCTGAATGGAGCCCCAATAAACCTGCAAGCATTACTCATTGAAGTACCATATTCGATAGAGGCATGCACTAGTATATATAAATTTAGTAAATTGAAATGCCCCAGTTATTTTGAGCCCACGAACCGATGCTACACAGCCAAAGCTGCAGCGATAGTCACCAGAGATAGTAAGAGACGCCATGCACTATAATGCGATGTGTCGAGGACTGCAAACTGCAAAGTCTCACCGGTTTACTGATGATCCGGCGCCACCGTGGGCAAAGTTGAAAATGATATAGGGCCTGTGAGATGCAACTTGAATTCCGGTGGAAAGCAACGCAGCAGTTGCGAGAAATTGAATCAGAAGCCGTAATAAATGATGGTACCAGTCAATTGGACTACATTCCAAGGCAGGCTATGGCACCACCGTGAAAATGATACATAACCATGCCAGCGAGCACTTCTATTGCTTCTATCACCGATGGGTTCTGATTATCCATCAGCGCAGCAGCTGCGTGCTATGTACTTTCATGTCGATAGACCGGATGTTTCCTTGTTCCGAAGCACTGGATCGGCGCTTGGAGGATGTACAATCCTCACAATCATCAATGCTGGTATCGATTATCTTGTCGTTTAGAATTGATTGCTGAAGCAGTTATAGTGTGTCCTGCACCCAAGGAGGTGATCAGCACATTGACTGACCCTCGACGATTGTCGCCTGCATGAGTTGGCATCTAGCTGGTAAGTACGTATCATTCACAATGTTTCTTGCCCTTATGGTGAAGGGCCAGGTATTAACGACAACAAGATATAGTACCACGGCTCAGTCATTCTGGTCCCATGATACCCTTCGTATTATACCAGCATGCCGCTTTAAGAGAGATAGAGTTAGCTCTAGATGTCACGACCAAGACCATAAAAGTACTCACGCGATACCAGCAGTTTGGAGAGTTCTGCAGAAAAGCTCTCATCACTAAACGGAAAACAGGACAAATCAAGAACGCACGAGATAAATCCGCAAAACATGGCAGATGTCGCAAGTGTTGCAATGGTTTTGCCCCGCGATGGTGCCAAAGCGCCGAGCACACCAATCTGTATACCTAGCGATCCGAGATTTGCAAATCCACAAAGCGAATATGATGCAATCGTGAAGGCACGCTGCGACAGGGGGTTTGAACTCGCTTGGATGGTCGATAGTTCTGCAAAAATTAAGCATCAGCTACACCTGTCCGTGAATTGGGATCACAAGAGTACCTAAATATGCAGCAAATTCATTTTCAATTAACTTCGTCGCTAACAACTGTGAGACTCGGAGGATCTCATTGCTAGGGACACCTAGCGAGATATCAGCTTGGATAGCTCAAGATCGCAGAAATGTATCCAGACCCAAGAAAAAGGCGAGAGGATACCCGATGTATCCCAAAACTAGCTGTAAAGTAAGCTGGTGGATGCCGAATCCATGGCCGACCCATGTTAAGACGGCATTGATAGCGGCGACGAGCGACAAGATCGTCAACACGTTAGTGCTATAAAAATAAGCTGAGTGACTCGTTGATGGCTGTTTCAAAGAGCTCACAGGATTTGTCCCGCGACCTTTAGGCCAAACAGACCTCCCAAAGAAAATGCGTGAAGAGCGTTGACTGGCCGTTCCTTTCCCTCGTCCCCGCGGTCTACTATTATGTGGCCACGAGTAACAGGTTCGTCGAGTTCGGGAATCCGCATCTTGCTGATGGCAATAGAAGCAGGTATGCTCATGACAGATGAAGTGATAAGATTCTGGGGTGGAACACCCAGGGCAACGTAGGCGGTCAAAACAGATCCGGAGATAGTGGAGAAACCTTGAATTCATAAATATTAACGTTCCGTTGGCAGAATATGGCGAACAAACCAGAAGTCATGCAAAGATGAAGTTCCGATGGGGTCATGATATCAACATAAGGCTTGACCAAACACGCAGACTCTCCTTGGCCTACCCAAGGAGAAGCAGCCGCAACGACCGCCTCAGCGCCAGATACGTTCATGAGCTTGAAGAATAACCATGCACTTATGAAAACAATGAATCTCACTCTTCGATGAATGATGTGTTTCATGTACTCACAATCCTTTGACCATCCATTGCATGACACCGAGCTTTGGTACAAGTTAGCATTGAGGACTCCGAGTAGGGCCTAGTCACTGACATAGTACAACATTTGAATTGTGGCGATGAAAAAGATTACCGCGGCGAGCTATAATTTCATCAGGTTGCATTCGAGCTTGAGAACACAACCCTCATACCACATTCACAAAAAACCAACCCTTCGCAACGGTTGCTGCATCAAAGAAAAACGTAGCTCCGACATCGGCTTCCGACAAAAAGTCGTTTGCGAGATCCGCAATGTATTTGAAGAGGGAAAAACCAGCGCCGGTCTTGAGCACGAAAAGAGCAATAGTTTGTTGAAGGAAAAGGCCGACTATCACGGTAGGCCTTGCAATTCAAATCAGCAGATGCAGTGGGCCGAGAAGGAGGCACCAACCAGCAAATCGCCGATCTGTTTATGGAACACAAGTAGAAACCACACTGGAAAATAAACAACCCAAGTACTGAAATTGCTCGATGTCCATAATCGCTGTTCTACAACGAAGTCAGCTTATCAAACTCTCACTCAAGGCAACAGAACTCACGCCAGTGAGTGGTAATCCGAAAGCAGACCCAAACACGATGGCAAGAAGGCAAAGCCATCCAATTGTCAATCTCGCTGTCCGAGGAAGCTTGTACCAAGGCACCTGGACGTATGGCATCCATACAGCAGCAATAGGCTCCGTCACTACCGAATTGGGTATGAAGCGGAACGCGATAATGCTTAAGAGTACGGATAATAAGCAAAAGGGACATTATTGCGTAGATATCACTACTTACAGTAAAAAGGACCACGCGAAAACTGTCCGTACGACCCTTTGGAAAGAATAAAGGTTTGTTAATTGAAAGACTCGGAGAACACATCATACCACTGTCCACGTGTCGCTGTCAAAATGGTGGAAGATATCCACCACCCAAGGATGAGTGCGGCGAGGGCAATTAGGACGACAACACGCAGTCTCTTATCGAACGTGTTATTCGCTTGCGTCCCTTCGTCCTTTTCCTCTGTGCTCTCCAGATCGCCCCCAGGGTTTACAACGCGTGCGGTTTCCCGGTTTCCATCAGAGTTCGTGGAGACGGACGTCTTTCTGTGCAAGAACTTGTTCTCTACATCAAAATCGCCTGCTGGAGCTGCCATGTTGGGGGGCCGGAAGAACGCAGAGAGAGATGAGCGTTAATTATATGACCTCTTTAATATTGATTGGGGCCCCGAGCAACCTCCGTACATGTGGCTTCATCTTTATCGGAGGTCGTATGCGGCGACGCGGCGTCATGCGATAGCCTGACACTTATCCTGATCCCAAGTTCCTGGGCATGCGTGTACCGGTTTTTTTAAAAATTCCCGGCAAAATGAAAGACGAGTGCGGACACCAGAGGAAACTTATCGGAACCAATGCGGAGCTTTACATTCGCCGAGGAGGAGCAAGTCGTAACCGACCCGAATTAGTTGCCTTACTGGACTTTGGAAGGGTCATTATTCCATTCTCTCGTCGATTAGAGGTCAAGCAAAAGTGCCTGCGACATGAGAAAAGTTAAAACGAGTGATAAATAAATATAAATGACAAGTACTTAAGTTCTTATCTAGATGGATCTATTTATATTCGTCGGTTCAGCCCCGCCGCCACCGCGGGTAGTATACATTGTTTGAGCCAGTTTAAATACTACGAATATATATATTCAGACAACATTTTACACCTCAACTAATCTACACAGATTATTGCCGCCAAGTGCGACATCATGAGACATGAGGTATATAAAAACAAGTGGGCGGCGGACGTTTGTGAGATAGCGAAGATAGCGGGAAAGAAGATGAGCCAGGATCTGTCATGGCCATAGATAGAGTGGACAGCTCAAAAGCCCAAGCGCACTCCCATTTAAAGTACAACTGCTGTACATTCTGATCCTCCAGCGAATTAAATTCACACCTTGAGTGCCTTGATAAACTTCCCGCTCGCAATCGCTAGCCACTCTCCAGGCGCTGTCGAGTGACCCGTATTCATAGTCATCCCCTGTATCTGAGGAGACCATGCAAGGTTGGTCACTTCGCTGCTCGCAGAATACGCCATTATCGGATCGGTGACCACACGTTTCTTCACGTCTGGCCGCGGCGAATTTAAGCGAGAATTGGCAGTGCGGGGAGAGGTCGCCGTTTGTGTGTACGTAGCAAGGTCCCATAGTAGAACTTGGCAATCATCCCCTGCATGTAACGTTCAGGTCGAACACAGGAACGAGTTCATTGATCGCAGTGCTTACCTGCGGTAGCCAGTGTTGGTCTATCTGTTGTGCTCCATCCCATCGCGTTTACCTGCGCGCGGTGCCCTCTCAGTTCTATCACCGGCTGACCAGGACTCCGCATATCCAAAATTTGCACATCCTGTCCATCCATATGAAATGTGGACATGTAATTTGAGTCAGCGGGGTTGAATGCGATGCGTAGTAGAGGTGATGTAGGTAGACGCGATGATGCTGAGGCTGCGGGCGGACCGCTTTTGGGTGCCGGTGTTTCATACAGAATGGTAGAATGCTCTAGACTCCGTAGGTCAAACGCACGAAGACTACCATCTGCCCCAACCGATACAAATATATCTGTCGATCCCGGAAGCCATGCAACATCGTAAACTTCTCGATCGTGGGCAATGAGTTGTGTTATGGCAGTGGATGTATCGATGTTCCACACGGTACACGTCGTGTCTATTGATGACGTGACAACTAAGCTGGGGGCTTTCTCGTTCCAAGAGAAACTGGTTAATGGTGGACCAGTGGACTGGTTTTGGATTTTGGATTGCTGGTACACACAAAGGCGTCAGTGTTTTCAATCAGGGCGTGGGTTTACAATCACGTACCCCAGACAGTGCCGTCTTAAGTGTCAACCGATGCCCTCCGCCCGTGGGCTGCCTCCCAACATAAGCCGACGACGCTGGTGGTGCATCTCCAAAATACTCCCATACCCTCAGCGCATCTCCAGTCGTGGCAAGTAGCTCTGCAGCTGGTGCCTTGCCAGTCCATTGGAAACCGCTCGCACTCGCAGGTTGCCATTGCAGATTGGTTGCTGGGTATCCATGGTTCGCTTCTACCAACGTCACAAAGTCGGGGTAATCGGTATAATCATCCTCAACAAGGACGCGCTCGTCTTGAAGTCCTACGATAGCAATCCGATTCCGATAGTCTTCAGAGAAGGAGGCAATTCCGAGACGGAAAGCCGATCGTGGACGAGATTGATGTCCAGGTGCAGTTGACTTGCACCAATCAAGCGCATGCACAGGCCCTGATCAAGGTTACCAAGTATGTTCGAGAAGTGGTGACGATGTATTGAACTTACATGGGGCTTCATATTGAAGCAAAGTTGTTTGGGTCATAGCGCACCTGACAGTAGCTAAAGAAGTGTTTGATGTGGCGTGGACGTTACGGAGTAATTGTATAACTTCGATCAAACTTTCGATATACTTAGCAAGTGAAAATTCAAGGGGATTATCTTGAACCCTAGGTCTGAAGCTTAAGTTACTTTGGAAATATCGCTGATCAGACCAACTTCACACGTAATTGGTGTCAAAGCAACAGAGCATGGTAACTTGTGTTACAACGGAGCAAGATATGTACAGCGAGAGCATATTTAGCAAACGTAGCAGTGCATCATTATGATATTTGGCCTATGTTTTGATGTCGAGTGGTTGTCAGAAGTTCGGAGATTGACCGGGCGTTGATCACGAGAAGGGCGGTGAAGTCGGAGGCGGATAGAGGTGATGGTAACTTTTAGCGGCGAGAGGCGAATATGCGATCGATGTCGGAAATAGACGTGACCAGTCGAGCCAGGGGGAAAGAAAAACACGAAAGGATAATCAGCAAAATAAAAAAGATAAAAAAAAACGGCTGCCGAGCATGTCGACGACTTCAGTCAGAATCCACCATGGAAATCGCGCCGCATTGTTCACAAAAGCTCCACATTGTCCTTGAGCCATCGGGACCAGCGGAGCAGGCAACACGAAGCTTGGGTATTTGCGAGCAATGCGAGCTATAAAGCACGCATTATGGAGGGAGGGAGTGACAAGTCAGAATCGTAATCAAGGACGAGGTCTCCTTATACTTACCCATGGTGGGTGAAAGAACTTGCAGGTTGTAACAGCCCGACCGCCTTGTCAGAGTTGTCCGCTGGATAATCGACGACCTGGGCGAGACGAGGGTACAGAGCTGTATAAAAATACGTAGATGCCAGTGAGAGTTGGTATCATCTAAGCCTCAGGTGTACATACGAGAGTTATGGTCGATGGCGTCCGAATATAGAGATGAACCACTTGACGAGCTGGCAGTAGAATGAAGGCGAGTATGATAGTTTTCAGGGAAAAACGAGACGACATCATCATGTGAAGGAGATTCAGACATAAGAGCATCAGCGTCAGGTTCATAGTTCGGGAAGGGAACCATTTTCAGTTGCTTGGCGACCTGATATGAGCAAGTATTAGTGGAAAAGTAAAATAAGATAGACTAAATAAAATGACCTGGGGGCAGTCGTCAGTAGCATCAAAGTCGAATTTACGCTTCATGGCCATGATATGAAAGGGCGCTAGTGAGTGTATGTATAGGCAGATGAAGCTATACGGTAGAGTTCTTGGGAAAGGAGGAAAGCCGATATAAAGCTCGAACTTATACACGATCAGATTTGTTGATGTTTGGTGCATATTCGCGGAGCGAACACTTCACAGGAAATGTCGGAGTAGCGATAATCGGTGGTCGGCTCGATCGGCTGGTATCCTGCCGATCCGATCCGATTGGTCGATTCCTACTAATTTCTCTTTCTCCATTCTGTAATTTGCTGTGCACGTGACACCACACAGCCACACAACAGCATGTTAACGTACTTCGTCGCAAGCTTGACGTGTCACACAAGCCCTGACCAGGACTTTTACAACTTGAAACTCGAGATTCAAGCTGCTCAAGCATTGAGCAACCCATAGCACATAATAGCAACCATGGATCCGGCAGACATCCCACTGCCAGCTTTTCTAGACCCCCTCCTTAGCTTCCTCGCTGATCAGCTTCCCCCACCTCTGTATTCATTTCTGCTCTCATTTCTCTCGCACTCGCTTGCATTATTCACAGCGCTTCTTTCGCTGATCTCGTCCCTAATTTCCTCCAAACCATGGCAATGGGATGCACAAACTATCCTTCCTCCTCTTATCAGCTTCCTTGCCGCATATCTCGCACTAGTCAGTCTATATAGAACTACTAGTTGGATGGTTAGAACCAGTATCTGGTTCATCAAGTGGGGAACCATCTTCGGAGCGCTTACTGCTGGGCTGGGGTGGTATATGGGGCAGAATGCGGGTATTGGAAGCACAAGCATCATCTCTAGCTTAGCCGGATTCATCTCGGACGTGCTGAATGAACAAACCCAGACCACTCCTGGTACATCACAGTCACCCAAGACGCGTACGCAACGCAAGTCAAATGACCGTCCCAAATCGTGGGAGTCATTTGAGAAGCACAAGCAATGGCAGTATCAGGAGCGCGACGGGAACCAAGAGGGGAATGATGCTCAAAAGATCATGTCAAACATTGCTAAAGCTGCCAATCGCTTACTGGCGGAAGGTGGATGGTGGGACGCAGCTCGGGGGATTTTTGACGGGCCGACCTCCGATGATAAAGCCACTGGCAGTGACAGCGACAGAACGAAGAAGAGCAGGAGTTGATGATACGTTTTTCAAGCGTAGGCACACTTATTATATATCAGCGTATATGATTCGAATAAGAACGATTCGCGGAGCTTCGACCAAAGTGATATTGCAAGGGAAGCATGAATACATAGTGAAACTCTCAAAAGAAACCAATCAAGCCTTGACTGCCTCTCCGTTGTACCGGTGACTTGCTCGACCGTTAGCATAGAATTTAAACTTCTGCTTGGCCTAAAACTCACTTTGCGATCCGAGCCAACTGCCCTAAACCGGTAGCGCCAACAAAGAAGTTCACCTGTACAACGGCGCATGAGTTATCGTTGTCAAGAAAACTTGACGACCCTTACCGCTGCCAAACTGTAGTTTACCGGGGTAATGACCACCGAGTATCTCACCCAGATAAAACCTGTGCATGCGAGCGCTATCCGGGAACAACTTAATCAGGGAATAGTGAGTCAATGACACATCTACGCACCAACGTTTTGGGATATGCTGAGTTTATCTGCTGGCCGACTCAAGTCCTTTACACCAGCGGCAACGAGACACCACTTCATCAATGGTGCCCAGAAAAAGACTGTCTTCGGACCTGCCATGACCAAGACGTGCGTCAGTGCCAATCTCTGCCATCAACCAACATCCCACGCACCAGCTGGATGGTTCATGAATGCGGAGAGTTTCGACCCAGCGGCCGCAGATGCTGCACCAGACATTGCTAATGACTTAAAGGGGACGAGCAAGGAAATGAATGTCGAGGTGACTCAGGTGAGTAAGAAATCGAGAAGGCACTTAAACTTCACACAAGTGAGCGTGAACTTTCACCAGTTATTGTTGCCGCGGATTCGGAGTGTTATGGGTGCACAAATGGGAATAGCCGGGAAAATCATGCGATGTGACACTTATATAAAATATTGATATTTTTGAGTACTGCGACATGATGTGAACAACTACTAGTGGGACAAATCGTGACGCAGTGTCTGTTTCACATAGAACAAGACCCAATCAATAGTGGCGCGCCGAACAAGCGCTGGCAGTGTACAGACTGTGTAATGTCAGTGTGGCGCATGCGGCATCCTGTCAGGATGTACCTCAATCCGCGCCCAGAGATCCTCCCACCCACTCAGCCACCAAATCTTTCCAGCAATCACCGATGTGCATATGCTCTCCCTGACATGCCACAAAGTCAATACGTCCGCGTTCGTCAAGCTGTCGAAGGCCTATCCAGTCTTCTTTGTAAAGGTTTTGTAGATGCATCGGGATGATGTCTTTGGTGTTCACTCCACCGAACATCGGCGTCTGATGGGATCCAGATGCTTGGTCCATAGTGATGTCTTCAATAGGTTGCTCGGAGCCGAACCAAGCGCTCTCCTTTGGGACTACAGTTTTGTCTTGGAGGAAGAGAACAAGGACAAGCTTATTTAGCGAGGCAAGGTTATCTGCATATGATAGATTGCGAGAAGACGGGAGCAAGACTTCATTGTTGATGTCCGGTAGAAAGCTCCCTGACTCCATGTATTGCGAGAGCCGGTGCGGGTCTCTGAAATACTGAGCCTGATGATGAATGAATTAATGGTAGCATGATACATGAGGGAGTTTTCTGACAAACCTGAACAAGATTATCCTGTGCCCATTCACTATACACACCCCTATTTGCTGCTCGACGTGCGACCCGGCAAAGTAGATCCCACGTGTTGCAGGCTGGTAAACTTGATACACCCATGTGTTGTGACCCAAAGGTGATCAAGTTATGCACCGGCGGGCTGTTATTGCGCTCCACGTAGCCACGAAGGAATTGACCTCCTTGTGAGAATCCTATGGCATCGAAACCGCGGCTTAGTTCGGGTATCTCAGCGAGCTGCTGGGCAACTTGCACGATTTGTTGATTCACATTGCCATACTGACGAATATCAGTTAGAAACTCGTATAATGGCAGTATGGATACTCACAAAACCTGCACGCTGGTCTACATTTGGGTCTTCATCGATGTAGATGGAGTGGACGAATATGCCGGGGTACATTTCCTTGACTTCACTCTGAAAGCTGTCCATACCAGGAGATGCGTAGGTGTCACCCATTCCGTGCCATATTACTAGGGGTCGTATATTATTCACAGCCGCACTAGACACAAGGTTAACGAGACTTGCGAAGAGCACAATTGAGGAGAGCATGATGACCGTCGAAGCACTTGCTTTTAAGTTGTTATACTGGTACCATCCTATGCCAATATTGTGGGACAAGTTTATGTAAAGTGCTCGGCGGGTGAAAATATTGTTACACAAACAAACATTTGGTGCACGTGCGAATCTTGCGCCCACACTAGTGCGGCCGGACTGCATGTTTTGCCTAGACCAACGGGATGGCCTGGAATCAATCGGAGTCCACGTCGCTATGTCATTTCCAGGTCTGTGGAATACTTTTTCATCACTTCCATTTTCATCAACCTCACCGTGATCAAGTGTGAGATCTCAAGACTTGGATGGACGCTTGAACGTTCGAACAGCCATCGCGCAGTAGAATATCACATTACCAGAGTCTTGAAACTGGCAGCCTTGAAGGATCACATGGAATCAAGTCCTGTTGCGGACTTTGCAGCCAGTCATTTCCCTATCCCACACGAGACGCATACGGACATAGATCTTTGCATGACATGTGACAGAAAGTCAGGGATTTGGACGCCAGACTTTGGCCCTAGAGTGTCCATTTGCTGGATGTCCCCGGGTGGACACTACCGGAATGTGTACAGTAAATGGCATGGACCCGCCATATCGTGTCATCACACATTGTCTGGTCTTCGAGAGCGACGGGCTAGGCTCTACTCCGATTGAGATATCGTTCCTTGTTGGCCATTCCTCGCGGCCATGACTCGGATCTAGTGGACATCACGAGCACTTGTTTGCAACAAGATACGCCTGTGATTTTGCTCAGGACTCCCTACACCTCTCCCGTCGACTCTCGGAAGGTTTGGAACGATGATAAATGTTTTCGAGTGTCCGAGATTCGGATCACACAAACCAAGTGTATGACGAGAACGTGTTCAACATAGGGTCCATGACGCTCAAGTGTAAAAGATCAAGCTTCGGCTTCAAGGCTTCTGTCGTATCGTTGATAATATTATTGTGTTATCACCTAGCTAGGCTGTGACATACGCGCGAAATACAACCAATTCGGAGTCTCCGGCAGTGATCTTTATCTTAGTTTCAGCTCCCACGAAGATGACGCTTCCAGCTTGTAAGTCTAACTCGCCACCACTCCAGCTTACCCGGCCGGAACCTTCGGTAGCGATTGCGATTGAAGGACCTGGAATAGCTTCGTGAGTTTCGGTCTCGCCCTTTTGGGTCTTGACCTGGAGAACCGTAAAGTCTTGAATTGGGGGATCATATTTGCGGGTGCGTGGTGTGATGTCAACCGGCTCGACCATATGTTTCTGCCAATCTGATGGCGTATAGGTCAAAACCGAAACAAGATTGGGGATGTCTTTGGGTTTAGGGGTAAGACCAGCGCGAATGACATTGTCCGAATTGGCCATGCACTCCATGATATCTTCCACATCATTATTAAAGTGAGCTGAATACCAGCAGGGAAAGACATACCGCCTTCAACGTAAGCGTGGGGCTCTCCAGCTCCCAAGAAAATAGCCTGCCCAGGAGTCATTCGGACGAAATTTAGCATGAATGCGCAGAATACTCCGACATCTCCGGGATATTGCTCATTCAATGTCAGGACAAGATCCTTCACATCCTCTTCTAGAGGTTTCTGACCTCCGCGTTGGTAACGCGCAACGAGTGTCCGAAGTTGTGTTGCAATACTGGAAACGTCAGCGGTCATGAGTGCTGCAAAGAGCTTCTTAAGGACTGCCTTCTGCTCTGACTCAGGCAAGTTGGTACAGTTCAGAAATTCCGTCACGATAGACGAATCGATTAGTGAATTGAATTCGGGAACGGCTTTGACGTATTCAGCGATCCTCGTGATTGGCATGAAACCGCACAGCGCCTTGAAATCTGTCAACGCCAAGGCCATCTCCGGCTTGTGGTTCGGATCTTCGCACAACTTATGCGTGAGGACTTGAGGGCCACGTCAACAAGAACTCTCACCGGTGTAAACTGTCGGTTGTTCGGCATGAAGTTTCTCTGATGTCTTCTTGTCAGGATGAGTTTGTATGCTCAGGGCTTTGCCAATGGCCAAGACCTTGAACAGGAAGGGGAGGTTTCCATTTGTCGTATCGAACCGCCGAGACACCTGGTCCCCAATGAAGCCAGGGTTCTCAGTTAAGATCTGGGTAAGATTCTGCTTCCTGTCAACCACTCCTGACGGCGACTTTACATGCGTGCCCATCCAAAGCTGGTCATGCACGCTCATGTGTCAGATCTGCTGCAGACCGTGCTTCTAGATCACCTACTTCGGCGTAAGGAGCTGATTGATTCAAAGTAAATCCACATATTCCGGCCCCAGGAGCAAACTCCGCGACCTTGGAGTCCTTTCCCTTCTTCCCCCAATCGTAGTTCTGAATAGTGGGAATGATGCGGAAAACTGGCTCGATTGTACTCATCGTGAATACAGATTGATCGTTATCGATGGTGGTGGTACAAGTTGAAATAGATACCCTGCGCAGAGCCTGTGGAAGTTACGTATATAAGTAGACACATGCCATGTTGAACGTGCGCTCATCCTGCTGGAAATTCGCATTCGTGAGTCTTTAAAAAGGCTGTGCTCTTCCATTCGGCTCTAGAGACTTGATAAGACGGCGTTATTCGACTCCTCGATTACTTTCTTCAGACGACCGTGTTCACAGCAATGACAGGAAGAAGCAGCTCAGTAGAGTTGAGATCCCTTCATTCAAGTTCATTGGATCCGGGGTGAAAACAAGCTGCTGGTAACAATGTGCCATAAACGAACCACAGGTCAAATCTTCACTCTTGCCAATATCCTTGAATGCTACCAGGACCCTCCGATAATCAGTCCTCTTACTACTTCACAAGTCACTGGAGACTTGAAGTTTTCTGTGGTTCGGAAGGGCCCGCCCGCTCGATGCCATCATTTGCACGATCAGTCGCCATGTTCAGAAGGAGATACTCCACGACAAATGCAAGTGTCTTCCATACTATCTTGTATGCCTCGAAGCCAACTCATGCCACGATCATATCTCTTAGTCCTTGTCATCATTGCCTCGTGGACATCAGATAATGGACAGCTGATCAGGTCCGCCCGTCGATATTTGAAGATGATCAGGCCAGATCCTGAAAGGACCACCCCATAATTTGAGCTCAAATCCGGGAGCAGTCAAGACCTTCAAGCCCCTCTTTCTCCAACAGGTATCGCTTGGAGATGCGGCATCATCATCGGCGCAAAGTGAAAGGGATATAAGTCCGCTGATGGCGACACAAACAACCCCACTCCAACTGTCAACTTTGCGTAGACTCTAGCACAACATGATTGATTACTGGCAACCTGGAACTCAGTACAATGACGGTGCAAGGGTCCTTTATGAAGGTCCGTTTCCATTCACCTTTTACTCCGAGTAATCAATCCATCCCTTGCAGGTGTCCAGTACAAGATCATTCAGCCTCACCGGTCCCAGGTAATCCGCTGTCAGTGCTACTCATTGTCAGACTGACCAACGAGCTTCGCCCAGAGTGACTGGACTCCGCCCGTGACACCTGCCCTTTGGGGACGCCTGGAAGGTGGCGATTGCCAGCGCAGTCCTCATCATGAGAATTCTGGTCAATGGGCCGGGGACTGCAAGTCCGACCCGTGTGCTCCACCATGCAACCAACCTCCTCCTCAGCAGCAGCAGCAGCAGCAACAACAACAGCAACAACAGCAACCTTACCATTCCCCCCAAGGCGGCATCCAACCGACTCATCAGGAGAGTCAGCAGCACTGGTTTGACATTGATGACAAAAGGAAGCAAGAGCTGGAGGTATGTTTTCTTCCTCGTATAGACTGCTCACATCATCACATGTGTCTTGTACATTAGATCGGAGGAGGCGTCCTGGCCGGTGTCGGTGCCCTTGCCGCTGGCGTTTTTGCCTACAATCACCACAACAAGAGTGAAGAGGAGGTATACGTAGTATTCACCATCAATCGATACAGATCTGACACCCTGATTTTCTGCAGAAAAGGGCGCACGTTTGGTCGCAGGGCAACTGGCTCCGTGATGCGGAGCAACGTACCCAGGCCTTCCGAAGCGGAAATTACCCTGCTCCAGTAGCATGGGTCCTCACTAAGGGTAAGAACATCCCACCAAATGCCATCGAAGGTGGCTTTGAGCGTGGCGCGCCTTTGTACATCTGCCGTGCTTACTATGAGGCAAGTCCGACAGCCTTGTTTACTGGCCAGCCACTCATTTTGATTCTTATAGGGTGGTCTCAGTGCGTCTCGGATGATGATGATGATATTCATGATTTTGACTGAACGGTGTCTACTCCAGTGGTCGGAAAGGCATGCTCTGTCTTCAAAAAAGGAGCTGTGATCGGCTACAAGAAGGAAGAGATCCACGTAAGTGCAAACCAAACTGGGCTGTTATCATCTGTTGAACTCGTTGGAACAGCTTGATACATATGAGATCCTTGTTGGGAACTCTCAAGCCGTCCGTTGGGTTAACGTTTCTGGCCAATTCAACTTGGCAGCTCTCAATGGACTTCGACCCGTGGAAGGTGGCCGAGAGCCCGGAGGTGCTCCTCAATACATTGCCCAAGCTCCTTACCACGGAGCCGTGCACCCGGGGAAGGCGTCCGAGTCGTTCGGTGATGGTTGCTTCATTCCTTACGACTCCACAGAGAAGAAGGTCAAGGTGAGTACAGATGCCAACAGGGTTGATAAGATCTAATTTGATATGGTATTGCAGGAGTACGCGGTGCTTTGCTACAACTGACAGGACACGTCGCAAGAAGATATAAATTAGTAGTGTGGGCTGGTGTGTAAGACGTAACGATTAGTTCTGCCAATGTCAATAAGTACTTTTCGAGAACCGCTTTGAAGATTTCTCTTTAAAGACTCACTGGAGAATTGTGCATACTACTCACCTTTTCAGCAGTTACTCAGACTGCCGCTCTCTACATCACTGTAACAAGTATTGTGACCAGCTCAAGTCTTTCACCGAGATTGGTTGCACATTATTAGGTTATGGGACCTCTTCAATCAGTAGCTGCATTTGAACGAAGTGAATGAGCCCAAAAAGAAAGCTTCGTAAGGAAAAGACAGTACTGTAGAGAATGGCAAGGGCCTAAATATCGTCGAGTGCAGTGCATAACGGAAGTCTCTCCATTTTGCCTCTGGCAAACCTCCAGCGAAATTAAGTTGGCGGCGTCAACTACCAACTGATACCGTCACGGCGTCTAACCTAAAGCTAAGGCCGAGCGTTGTATCTTGTGAATATTGCCCGGGATGTTCACAGTTTCTGCGAGCGAAAATTTTGTAAAGACCACGGAAAATATAAATATGCGTCTTGTTCTCCAGGTTCTGACAGGCCAAGTTGCGTGATAGGGAAGACATCGTCCTGGTCAAGATGACCTTCTGCAATGAGCATGCGAACCGCCGGTACGCACTGCAAAGGTAGGATTTTGTGAAGGCACGTTCTCCCACACAATGCATGTCCTGCGAACCATTGTACAGATGGGCCCAAGGGACGAGATCAATATCCTGAAACTTGTGTGAGGACGTTGTCTGCAAAGCTAGCTGGTCCGAGAAACCTGTGATAAGGTAAGACCATCGCCTTGTGCTTTACGTCTATGTAGAGTAATTTGTTTTGTTTGTCAAGAGATTTATTTCCTAATTTATCACAAGCTTAAGCACAATTATAGCGCGTCGAACACGCTGGAAACACGCTTCACGCGCCAGTACTTTGGCCGACGAGGTCGCCGATCATGGATACACCTTCATCAAATTCACTGTCAAAGCCTCGTCTAAGGCTTAATCGCTATACGCCAAATCCTCGTGTTCAGGACGGTAGTGATATGGACTTTACCCCAGTCGCAGTCCCTTCTTCCGCGCGATCACAATTCAATGTCGTCGATGATGAAGACGACAATCAACCTACTCCTCGTATGCCACTCAGGAACATCGCTTCTTTTTCGAATAGCTATGGTCCAAATTCTGAATTTGGACCATCTACTTCGTCTGTGACACCCTCTGAAACTCCTGCAGCACGCCTCCGCGCCTTGCTAGCACGTTCATCTGATTCGCCCAATGGAAAATCCCCTCCTACAAGACCCGTTGCACAACTGTCAGAAGATGGCACTGGCTCTGTGTCCTCTCGTTTTACACCTGCCACTCCAAGTATCACTCGGGACAGCCTGAAGGATTTGTTCTCTCGTGCCAGACGTGAGCCTGGGGACACACCACAGAAATCGAGACCACGCAGAAATAGTTTTGACACCAGTGAGATGGACATTACTCCTGTTGTCGACCGTGAAAGGGAACAGCATAAGGGTAAAAGAAAAAGTCTCAGTGATGACGAGGGTGATAAACCAAGTACGTCGATTCCCTTTACTTCATCATCTTTGGCATCTCCTCACAATATGAATCAAAGAATCCAGTAAGGGATCCGAATCATCATTTCGGTCTCCTCATGCAGCAACGTTTGATACCCTTCGTGCACGTCTAATGTCTTCTCACTCGCGGCTCCTCGATCAAAATTTGCCTACAGCGGTGTATGACAGTCAGTTCATCTACATCATTGTGACGAGTGCACCTGATTGAAGTGTTTCAGTTACTTCTCAACCTTCCGAAACAGGTTCATTATTTGCAGACGAACCTCGTTTGGAAGGACATGCTAATGTTAATTCGACAACGACTTCGTTACGACCACTTGATTCCACTCCGTTATCACCTTCAAGAACTGCAAGTTCGTATCAAAGAACCTTCCAATTGCCCTCCCAGCTAGCGTCTCACTCTAGTAAGGTCAAACATTTGCAATGTTTATACCCCCCTGACCATTCAATCAGATCTCCTGGATCAAGATTCGGATATGCAGCATGTTATGGGAGATCTCGATACATCCGAAGATTGTAGGCACTCATTTTCAAAATGGCCAACCGCAACGTTTCTTATTGTTCCATTAGTACCAGCACCGATACCTGGGCCAAGTACCAGTCGCCCGTCAACCACTCTGTTGCGGCCCCGTTCCTCCATTTCATTGCGCGGAAGTTTGCGACATCAGGATCAGTCTCGGCGTGCCAGTCTCGAATTGCCAGGTAGGTGATGTCTTTTCGCTTTTACGTCACCCACCTACAGTATGCGCAGGGCCAAGGGCGAGCTCATCACTTTCTGATGCTGATTGTGAGATTACCACTTGCTATTATTTTTCCGAGGCGAGCTTATCATGGTATTCTAGTCAAAGAACAACATCACTCTCGTGATGAAGATCGGATGCACCAACGCGAACGCGAGTGGAACCGTCCAAAAGCACCATCACGTTCTGCCACCCCTGAGCTGCATCACCAACACTCATTGGAATTCCACCGACGCCACTCTCAAGAAATTCCTTGGACGTCACCTTCTCACGTTAAATCCCTTTCGAACGGAGCGACTTCACCCCTCAGCGGCAGGGTTCTGCATAGAAGGGGTAGCGTTGCGTCGCTTCGGAGTTTTGATGATGATTGGAGCTCAAGGTCAGGTTCCATGAGCTCACAGGCAGATCGTAAGCGATTATTTCTTTTCAATTCACACCACTTCAATGACCTTCAGATCGTGATCGGATGGCTGAGCTTGATGGGGACCGCTACCTCGAGCGTGAACGAGAATGGAATAAACGACACCCGCCACCTCGACCGTCTTCAAGTCTTAGCTCACATTCGAATCAGTCCCACACTTATCCCAGCCGACCTCCATCAGTCACAGCGTATGCGACACCAACGCTTGCATCCCTTCAACGACAGGGTTCCAGTTCTCGATTATCTGGTGCCAGCTCACCTGCCAGTTCACAGGCTAGTCATGACTCGTTACGAGATCCAGAAGAAGTGGAAGAAGAACGAAAGGTAACACACGAACGTGAGCGAAATTGGAACTCACCACAGCCCAAATGGAACACAACAAGACATCATAGTCATGACAGCAGTGGAAATGAAGTTACATCTGCAAGTGACCATCTTTCCCAAAGCAAGAGTGGGAGGAGTTTGCGTGCATCGTCTAGTTTACCTCGCCTCACTCCAGAGGCTCAAAGCAAGGGCTCACTGACGACTGTGAAGGTGCATTCTCACAAAGGCAAAATAGATTCGGTTCTCGATGAACCATTGTCCGTTCATCCGCCGCAGGGTGCAGATCCGTTGTCTCCTTCCAATGATGGCAAAACTTCACCCCGTACTACACCACTTAAGCCTGCGGCCGCTTCAAGATTTGGCTGGGGGTTTTCGCGGGGTCATCAGCTTCCTCCTTTAGATCTGGAGAGTTCGCCTAAACGAGGCGGACGCAGCAACAAGGAGCCTGATTCCTCACATCACCACACGCCAACCATCTCTTCGTCATCGCCGACTCCAGGCTCGCTTGCATCCAACCGAGCATCGGGCGTCAATCGGTCGAGCTTGATTCCAGTACCCTCGCCATCTAAGAAGAATGGTCTTTTCAACAGTGGCAGTTTTGCCTCTTCCACTCCTAAAGCCAACGATGAGGAGAAGTTCAAGAAGGGTCATCGCAAGCGGCTGACAGAGTTTACTGAGTCAGTGGGGAGTATTCACCCTCGTACTAGCATCCACGGTGCATTTGGGGATGAGGATATGGTTTTAGGTAAGACCCGTATTTCCCTTAGCTTGACAATATACCTTCTTATCTTAGGATATACAGCGAGCGACGAGGAATCCGTGTCGGAGTTTGCTCCGCAATTGACTGCTCCAGACACACGACCTTCGAAGTTTTTCCCAGAAGATCCTCCCAGCGAGCCAGAGACAGAGGTTCTGGTGTCTCCACCATCCTCGCCACCAAGGCAACGCTCACTCGTTCAAACACCTGGTGTTTCTTCCAATGATGAAGCACGTCTTCACAGAGCTCTTTCCTCAACTTCAACGACCTCGTTCCGACCTTCTACTCCAGACTCTCCATTAGATAACTCTCAGTCCCAAGAGCAGGCGATGCCATCATCCTTCACCCCCCCAGGAACGCCGCCAATGACCAGTTCCGCTCCTCGGGACGAATTTTCTCCTGAAGCCATTCCCACCTTCGCACTCACAACTCCACCGCGCCGTCTTGCGTCAAGCACTTCCATTCTTGACTTCCGCACTCCATCTCCGCCTCATGACCTTTCTAATCTTTCTGTTCTCCCTTCATCTTCTGAAGATGAAGCAGAGACATGCGAGGCGGATGTTACACCCGTCCGAGTGGATGAGGATGGCCCTGCCAATCCGAACTATACCGCGATGAAGACCCCGAAGCCTCCTGGAGCGTGGGCTGCTACACCCGTACCGCCCAAGCACCTGAGGGAAACATCACCACCTCCTACTTCATTCGAGTTGGCTCCGACTGTATCATTGTCATCGATGCCTCTATCTCGAGCCATTTCTGCTCCTGAACGGAGTTCGGAGATAAAGGTCCCAGCAGGCAATGGACTGCTCACGCCAATACCTTCTCTGTCGCGCGCTAAGTCTCTTCCTCTACGCACCCCGGCACCCCCTGGGGCATGGATGCTCACTCCAAATCAACCCATGACTCAGAATGGACAGAATGGTTCTGCCGATCAATCCCAGTTTGGTTCTATCGGAAGGAGGAAGAGCATTCTCAAAGTACGCTTTGACGTCACGGAATCAGAGGCTTCAACTGCTGAAGTTGAAAAATCGCCTTTACCTTCTGGACGCGTATCTGCGCCAGACTTTCTGCCTGATAGCCACGCACGACAGGCGGAGAGCGACCCTTCAAAAATGATCAACGGTTCTGCTCACGTTGATGTCGTACATGATCCAGTGCCAGCAAGGCCCGTCACTCCTGAACGTTCTACAACACCCATATCTCGTGCCAATACACCATCGCCACGTTCGCTGAGAAAATCCCCCACCGTCAAGGTTGTGGATGCATTCGGTCGGGAAAGGATTGATGACCCTCCAACATTGGCTGATGCACAGGATATTGCGAACGGGCATGTGGATGCGAAAGACGTAGTTCGTTCACTGTCGTCAGCTGAAACTCCCCGCGCTCCTCGTGTCCAACACAAGAGTAATATTCGTATTGTCGATGCGATGGGAAGAGAAATTGAGGAAGAAGTCGACCCTGTGATTGAACCCCTATTTGAAGAAGAGCTGTTAGTTCTGCATGATGATCCGCCCGTTGGTCGCACCAAAACACTGGCTCGGATGCGGCAAACGCTTCAGGAGTGGGCCGATGGGCTAAGTGATGGGGACAGGTAATATATCCAGTGTACGGTTCAAGACAAATGCTGACTGATAGGAACTGCAATAGGTCTGCTGATGATCTCGCTTTGAATACAAGCCACCTTGAGGAGCTAGAAAAAGTTTCGAGGGCAGCGCGGCATGCTCGGAATCAGTTAGCTCAAAACCTTCGTGTTGAATCTGTGAAAGAGCGTGACCTGGTGCACAAACATGCGAAGGACGCTGTGAGCCGAAGTGGGCTTTTGGTAAGACAAAGTGTATATGCATTCGTGTGGTCGCATCTGATTGGTTCCCTCGACTAGCCGGCCATCATTGGCGACAACAGTTCTTTCCATCGTGGCATGGCTTTGCTCGGAGTTGTGGCCCAAATAATCTTCGTCCTTGCGATGTGGCGGTAGATATCTTCATTTTGTATGAAGGTTTTTTCACTGACCTGTTGACTGTCTGCATAGATTGGCACATGTCCAAGCTCGCCGACTGTTTTATACCGTCTATTATGATCCTCTATACCCAGAGTTGAATCCCTTACCTGGACACTCCCGTCAATTCTCGCCGCCCTACCCCTCATTTATGTGGTCGCTTTCGAGCGCGTATGATATTGTAAGACACGAAGGATGGTCAGCTTTGAAAGCGGAGCTACAGGGCACTGTGCGCCGCATTGGTCAACATGCTTGGGAGAAGTGGGGAGAACGCCCTTACACCGGAACATGGCCACCTACGTGACCGTTATGATTATGATGCTACACGCTATCTATTTTTCATGATATTTTTGTTTTCTTTCTATGATATCGTCGAAAGGTTTGGTTGAATACTGTCTAGTATTAATATGATTCTTCGCAATTATGTAGACAAGTTGACATGTAGTTCCCGACTCTCGAGCACGTCATAACGTCAGTCATTGTCTATTGATGCGTCTATCATGATGTAGTACGATCCTTTTGCTTACGGTCAATTGTATACAGCGTTATCGGGAGTAAGAACCAGTGTTCTGCCGGTCACTGAACATTCGCCACAGCGCGCTCGATACACCTGGGATTCGTCCGGTGTTATATTTGCACATTTTGTCAAGTAGAGAGTTGCGCACCCTGCGCACTGCGCGTTTTATTTTCAAGATTTCCCGCTTATGCACACTGCATGTTTTCAGGCCCCCTGAAGCTCCCCCATAGGTTTGTCCGAATTTTAGCATTTTTGAGGCCGAAATTTGGCCAAATCTCTGTCCGGACTTAGCATTTTTGAGGCTTTTGGAGGGCCGATGTCTGTCCGAAGTTAGCATTTTTGGTACTTAGTGATTCAGGCGCACTTCGGGGCAGGTCATGTAGTGACTTGGAGATAGATACTATAGACTTTGCCAGCGCAGGCCAGTCTGAGCCCTGTTCTCGTAATGAAGCTTCCTGAAGATCTTGCGCGGCAAACACGCCGAATTCGAATTCGAAATATAGAACTCACATCTTGACATACCTTGTTTATGTACTCCCAGTATTGCACGGTGCACAACGCGGAAATGTCACACTTTGGCGGAGGTCACACTGTGTGACCACTGACCTCTATCCGACTTAGCATTTTTGACGGTCGAAAAGTTGCATTTTTTAGGGCTGATTTTGGGGTTCTGGACGGACAGACCTATAGGGAGCTTCAGGGGGCCTATGTTTTCAAACACATTGAGAACTTTGTCTGCACACTGCAATCTCACTTTGACTCCGGTTAAAAGCTAGCGCTGAACGCCGGCTTACGCCGCAGCTTTCTTATAAGGTGTGAATCTAACATCACTCTTCGAAATCATGCCTCCCGTCCGTCATTCCACACCCACAACCAGTCTGAAAAGTCGAGCTACCGCTGCTGCTGTGGAGCCAGCTTCAAACCTGGCAGTAACAAAGGAACCCCAGGCAATACCAGAATTGCTGGAACAAGAAGATATCGAAAATGCAGATTCAAACACAGGATTCTGGTACGTTCGTTGCAACTTACGGACCATGTAATTTGTTTACCAGTCTTTGCAGGTTTGCGCCAACTGATTATCAGCAGAATTCAGAACGGTGGTGATGGGCCCGAAGTCGAGGTACGAGAAGCTGCATGTTCCTTATCTTTCTCAGGCTGATTTCCGTGGTAGGTATTCTCGGACGTTTTGGAAGAAGATTATCAGTATATTTTAAATGTTATTGCTTCTGACGATAATATGGTTCGCAAGTGAGTGTTTTCGTCCTTTTTCCAAACGTGACCTGATTGATCACTGTACTTTACTTCAGACCGTCATACATCCCCCATCTCCACCAAATCGTAGCCACCCTATGCTCCCCAATCCATGAGGCGATCCTGGTGCCTTTGCGCACCGCGATGGGGATCATCATCGACTCTTTCGTCATTCCTGACGATTTCAAAGTCTCACTACCTATTCATATGGGGCTTATGGTAGACGCGCCCGCTACTGCAGAGCTCCCTTCTACTGATGACAGGTACTGCCTCGGAGTACCAGACATGGTATTGATGTTTCAGACACGCGACACTGATATCCGTCCATATTGGCCGTTCGAGGTGTCTGTCTCTCAGACCTCTGAAGCTGCGATTGCAAAGTTGCAGAACTTCGGTAACGGCAATGAGCACGTCTTGGCTGCCACCCATATTCACATTGCGGAGGCTTGTAAGCACACCCTACCCACGTATGAATGGGGCATTGAGAAGGAGCTCCATCGGAGGGGAGTCCAGATAGGGGACTTGACACGCTTGGAAGATGGTGGATTCGCGTCGCTCTCACACACATGGTTCCATCCTGCGATAGTCACTATAACTACATGGATACGCCCTCCTAAGAGACCGTTGAGCCTGAGGTCTCGTCATGCTAGATATTATGCGAGTGCTGTATGTATCCTTAGAGTCGTCTGATATTAATGCTGACTTCACATTCACAGGTACTTTACCCCGACGGAGACGAGAGGGGCCTGGAGAAAGTCCAACATATGTTCCAACGGACGCTGGAGAGAATCCGCGACGCAGTTGTTGAGCACTTACAGACTGAGCACGCGCATGAAGATACACTACTGTAAGCACTGCTAGTATTTACCGTTATCGTAAATTCACCAGTTCTATTATTTTCAGCGACGCACTTCAGACTGTGAAGGACTGGTCTCCACCAAGCGAGGTACTTAACTGGAAAAAATGCACCAGAGAACTGCGCGCAGCAGACGGGATTCGATCGGTACCGCTCGTGGCACCGCAACTTCCTCAAGCGTGCTGCGGATGAGAGTGAGGATGTGGGTAAAGCTGGAACGAGCAAGAAGAGAGGAAGTATCACATAATACATATCGTTCCTACTTGTGCGTCTCGTGCAAATCGACATGTTTTTCATCACTAGTTTTCAAACTGTATTACTGCATGTTTTCATCATTTTACGCTGTATCGGTGTTCGACTTGTACGATATGTTTCCTACAATACGTTTCCCATTATATCACACCTACCTCACTGTGATGTTCTCGAACTCAAAGTTATCAGCATTGGCAACTATTATACTGGCAAGCCTGAGTCTGCGGGTGTTCACGGGATGACTGAGCTTCGACATTTGAAAGGTTTGTCTTTGCAAGGGCAGAGGCTCTCAAGTTTGAAAACATGCAGCACGTGCGCATAAGCGGGAAATCTTGAAAATAAAACGCGCAGTGCGCAGGGTGCGCAACTCTCTACTTGACAAAACACGCAGCGCGCATGGTGCGCAACGCGCAAATAATAAATATAACACCTCCAGATCACGAAATTCGACACAGCCACTTTAACTGGCGCGTCTTCATTTTACTATCTCCCGGTGAGCACTTCTTCGCAATCACATCATTCCTCAGCAGGACAGCGCAACTATGGAATATCAAAACCAATCAACCCATCGGAACACCACTTCATCATGACGACGGCTTGACCAATCTGACCTTTTCTCCAGATGCGGCAAGTTCCCCTTCACTCGCTGCCAGGACGGTCACATATATACCTGGGATGTTTCTCAGGCTGCTATTGTCAGAGAAGCTGGCCTTTCAGATATTGTAATATTAGATACATTTCATTCCAAATGATGCTGACAACGGCTTCCTCAGGTCGACACTACACTGTGACCAGCTCCAAAGATGAAAGGTGCCCCTCGAATACCTCTAGGGTTCTTTGACGATGCACTGCGAGAGGCCAATGTATGTGATCTCCGTTTATTATTCAATCCTGTGACTCATGTCCTCAGTCGCGCATTCATCTATCCCAAGCCTATGGGCCATATGACCACCCCACTCTTGTACCACGCCGACACACCCTCAGTCGCTTTTCCTCCTTCTGGCGTCGCTCAAAGTCTCACGGGGAAACTGAGCACCATACTCGACCTCTATCCCATTCTCTCAACTGGACTCGAAACCGTATATCTGGTATGCTACGCGGATGAGATGGATCGGACAATGGGTTGCGAGAAATCGAGGTCCCTTGCACAGCGGGAAAGCCTGTGCGTTTTTTCTCTTTCACGATTCTCCTTTCTTGCTGACTCGTTTTCGCGCAGAGAAATTATCACGCTAGAAGGAAGCCAACTGCTAGCTCGTCTCGACCTCCAAAAATCCATACCACGCAAAAACCTAACGCATCGTCATCACAGCTACCTCCAACTACCACTACCTCGACGCTTTCTGCCGTCACTGGTACTGCTGGGGCATCGGGAATACCCTCGCGTCCTCATATCACCGATGCTGGATGGCGCGCTCGTTTCGTGGGGTGGATTTGCTGCATGCCTTTCCAGAACGCAGATGGTCACCATTAGCAAGCGACACTTTGACTTCCATGTTTCATTCGTATTTTGCTATCTCAACTATCGTTAATTCATCATTACCATTGACTCTTCTGCCGTCATCGCACAGTACGGGTGGAGGCTAGGAAGGTCTGACCAGGATAGCAGGTAACATTACGATTTGGGATGAGCACGAATTCCGGTCGAAATATTTCTTAACAGTAACATATCTACAGTTGAAGCCTGGACAAGTTGGTCGGTATTGTGGTCGGTCACATCTGAGAACCAAGGACTTGAAGCTTGAAGTTGTTGAAGAGCGATCAATCGCTTCCGATGAGTCTCGTCTAGCTTCAAGTTGTAAAGGTTGCTTACTGACTATACTCTATGAAATGCTGTATCGATTGTCCAGCACCGGCAGGTCCCTATTTTCTTGTTATACTTGTATCTATCATAATTCCCCGTCGAACTCATTGCCAGCCTTACGTAACCATCGATCGTAGCCTTTCATGTTTGTGACTGGATCGAAACTGCACATCATTCGATCACCAATGGAAAAGCAGAAACATAACTCACCAGTGTATTGCTATGTACAAATTTACCGGCCTCCTCTGTGGGGTTCATCGCCAGGATTATAGCAGATTTGAGCACCAGTCGGCTGATATTACAAGGCGCAAAGGGTGTGCTATCAGGTGAAATTTTGAAAACGCAAACTACTACTACTACTCACAATGAGAACGCAGGTACTCTCTTTATTGCAGCAGTCCACGGTCTTTGTGCAACTCTCGCCATCTGGCTGACACGCACCGACAGACATTATAGATGTTGTCAGCGCAACAATAACAGTGAGGAAAGAGAAGTGCATTGTTTGTGCGAGGTGGTGCGAGGTACTTTAATAATTTATTTGGGGTGAAGATGACTTGCTCTTATACTCGTGAAAAAATAATGTTTAGTGTTTTAGCCAGCATCATCATGGTTTGGGCGTCCGCCGTCCGGTCATTACGTGAGAAGCTGAGCTAGTCTCTTGCCCACTGCCAGCAGAAATATTACGGCGTCCATATCACAACTTGATTTGAATGTAGACCCATGGGAACGTTAACATAGCCCCAGTACGGCTATGCTCATGTCAATCGACAAATTTCACCCCACTCATTTACTTGTATGCTATATTGAGCCATTTATTGATAATGACCTTATATTAACTATATCATTCAATCTAGAAGTTCGCGCATGGGATTCGTACTGGCTCTATCCTCTCATACATGTTCGTTTACTGTCTCCCAGAAGACGAGTACTCGTACATCTCGCCGCCAGTAGATGGGATTATGCAGTGGTCAGGCAATGGCCAGTCTTGCCGATCCCATACTTCCCCTCTCCGGCTCTTCATCAGCTCGATCATCAGAGACCATGTCACAGTGACATGCTCCAAGCCAAACAAGCAACGGATCTGCCGACGCAGGCGGGGATGCCAAATTCCATACGGAAAATATGTAATGGTGGCTCGAGTTTGGGACTGTAGAGCAATTCACGCTATACAGTTATAAGAAGCAATAGAAGCAAGCCAGAGTGGTCTGAAATCGATAGCAACCTGTATTGAATTGCTCGCTTTGCTCTGATCAAGGCTGACATCATTATGTGGGGTGGTCTCGCACACCAGATGCAGACAAAAGGTACATCTGTCACTGATTGCGCCAGTGTCGATTGAAATTCTAACATCAATTTGTAAATTTCAAGTCCGCACTGCCGATTCTTTTTCATGTCTTGTACCTATGATGCATGTTATACAGGAGTCAGCGAACCCGGGCCCATGTGTGCTCCCGATGAGTGAGTCTATTATTAGCTCGCCCTGGGCTATGTTTATCTAAACCAAATGGGTCATTGATTTAATCAAGTCCTTAGAACCACGAGCACTAGGTGTATGTAGCTGGGCTGAAAAGATAAGAAAGCACGGCCATCCACAGCATTGCTTCGTTGTCATGTGACCTGCTCAAATCATGGAAACGGCTTACGTGTTCGTGATTCATGATAACAAAGATCTATTCACTTGTATGTTGTTACCCCCCATTGCAATCGATATGGACGGCTATCAGAACTTCGAGAATTGGCACGACGAGGTACGTGGACGCAGAATCACCTCACTTGAGTCTGACATTGACTCCATTGGGCAATGGCTACCAGCCCGCAGTGCAGAAATGGCTCCAAGAGCTGTGTCAAATGCACTCAATCCAGCCTCCTGACAATAACATTCCATTGGGCGCGCGTTTTCGCCCGGCATATGCAACCGCCAGACCGCAGCAGGAGAATGCAGCGATTGTAGCACTCGCCGGTGCAGTGCAAGAAATGAGCAAGCATCTTGTTATTCCCCCACCCCCACCTGTGGCTCTTGCCCTCCCCGCTGCGCCACCCTCTGATTTCGCACGCTCTCTTGAGGTCCTCAGTGCGGCCACCAACATATCAGATGAAGATAAGTTGGAGATGATGCTGTTGTTCTTAAAGAACAAAGACGAGGCCATCGTATATCTCCACATGAACAATCGGCTGAGGGCTCCCTGGGTGCAGAGGAGGCTGGGCGAAATGAGGATTCATGGTGCATGATTTGTGAGACCCCATTTGTATTTCCGTTTGTACGTCTTCCTGTTCCCATGTTTTTTCCCCTTTGGTAGTCAGAACTTCAAAGCTTCAATAATATCGGTGCGATATACAGTGTACTACTACGTACTTCCTCATCTCGAATAACCAGTTTGTTTTTCAAACTTTCGTTAAGCCGTAACTTTGCAGTAGTGAATTTTACAGTAGGTTGACAGTCGGTAAACCTTGACATACATGGCAAGTTACAAGTTACAAGATACAACACCGTGATGTACGATGAAGTGAAAGACAAGATAACAACACAAGGACAACATTAGGACAACACGACTTACAAGTACAACTGACGACATAACTGTTGCGACTTCACTTCGTACCACCTGCTCCCTGCCGTGTCAGATGCCTTAAAAAGCCACGAAGCATAGCATTTGCATAAGGCCTTTCTCCTCGGGAAACACTTTCACTGATCTGATCCAGACGACTTGATACTTCGGGTGTGCTGCGGAACTCTATCAGGAGCTCTAGTTCCATTTTTTGGATATCAGGGTACCTGTGGTCATCGAGGGTCAGCGATGATCATGCTGTAGAACCAGAAAGGCGTACTGAGCTGTAAACCATGAGAACGCCTCATCCAAGATATTTTTCGAAGATAAATTGGATTTGATTGCCTGGCACGCCAGAGCTTCCAAACGTGCATTTTTGAGCTTCGGGATTCTTGTTAATCGGTGTGCCACATAAGACGTGAGACACACAAACCTTAGAGGCAAGTCGGTACATCGACTTGGGAGAACAGCGTAAAGTTTGAGTTGTGTTGTTGCGCCGGCTGAGCGGATCTTTGGACTTCAGGGGGTGGAAAGAAATTTGGCCAGTGTAGCAATAGTATACGTAGGATGCCCAGCTGCACGAACAATTTGAGTCATTTTGAGCTAGTCAGAAAATGTAGCTTACGTTGTGAATGCCGTGTTCTGAACCAACACTATTCGCTGTGTCGGAGAAAAGGGTTGGGGCAATGGCTCAGCCCTCAGTGTGTCTGTCGAGCGGAAACCTGGAGGCCGCGTAGCCTCCCATTCCGCCCACCTGTCATCTAAGTAGTAGACTCAACATGAGAGATCACCTCAGGCGCAGGGAGAAGGAGACAGACTCACTGTCATCATCCGAACTTAAAGCACTGCTATCGGAAGTGGTATCACTGAATGTATCACTAAATTCATCCAACTCATGCTCGTAATGTCCAGAGCCAGCAAACCAGCTCTGGCTATAACGATAAGAAGGGGGCTGGCTAGGCACTCCTTGTGCTTTTCCCTTTGTTTTCGTTTTCACTTTCTCCTTCGTCACGGTCTCCGTCTTAGTTTTCTGTTTCACTTCTTCTTCCCCTGAGTCGATGTCGCTATCGAGGTAATAATCATATCGCCCAGTGGTGTTCATCATCAGCCCATTTTCGCTGTCGTACTGAACGAGTAAAGAATTTTTTTTGATAGATGCTGAAAGTTAGGTTCATTACTAAGTATTGTTTGTCGACCAGGTAAGATAAGAGATCACCCACAAGGGAGAACTGGCGCAACACCGGCGCCGTGGTCTAAAATTGCACTATTCGCATATACGAAACGAGTTTCTCCTGAAGACTTCCAAGTTGCACGCTTGGACATGGCATAGTACTTGGTGTCGGTGAATTCGCCGTTGTTCATGGACTGCCTAAGAGCAGATACAGTATTAATGAGGGGATCAGCGATAACTGGAGCAAAGTTTGCTTTCGTAGCGACCGTAAACCACATGTAAGGGTGTGCAGCAATAACGGACGGCGAGAACGAGCCAATTAGCGCGGGGGGACCATGGCCAAAGTCAGCAATCGAGACCGTTCTGCTGTCAAAAGAAGGAACCTCTGGAGTAGACCCATCTTTAAGGCAGACAGTCACCGTGGCAGCGTCTGTCGCCGACGGCGAACAATGGGTATGATCGAGGTAAACCTTCACTTTGGCAAAAGACCAGCCTTCTTGAGAGTACTGCAGCCCAAAACGCCACCCCAATCCAAACTTTTCGCTGTAAACTATGGTTGAACCCCCTTGTAGGCATTTGGCAAGGCGTTCTTCCTTAGTTTCCAACTGGAAGATTGATGTAACTGAATCAGATAACTTCTGCATGGTGGATGAAGACAGCGAGAAGATGCTTAGGCGCCTCTCTGACCAGTCTCTTATCTGCAAGGCAGTGCAGTGTGACGGACGCCGCCTCCATATTTACTCGGAGTTAACTGGCAATAAATGGATCCCGTAACTCTAGACTGCTAGTGCATCAGGGAAAGGGAATTCATTACAGAGTGCTACAGACCGTTCTGTGGCATTCTGTAGCACAACTTGAATACAACCCGCCGATGGCTTAACAGTGAGTAAGATTCAAATTTTGACACGAGCTCATAATACGCGTGAAGCAGGTCGCATCAACAACAGTCAATGCTACAAGTTGGTAATACAATGCAAAGTTCACGCGATGAATAGAGCCAAACAACGGACGCCATAGGGTTCAATTCTGGCCAGGCATCTGCATAATTAACGCAGTGAGAACCGGTCCAGCGTTGGGCATGTTACCCATGGCAACAGCTTCCATTTTAGCTGGGAGACCCTGCACAACTTCTGACGCATTCCTATGTTTCAGCAGGAGGGAAATTTCCATTATTCTGACGGCATCATGCCTTTGAGGAGTGGTAGTGAGCAACACGTAGATGTAGAATGAGAACGTCGATACCTGGAAGTAAATTTGGAGAATGCCTCATCCAGTATGTTGGCCGCGGACAACCTGGTTTCAATGGCCTTTAAAGCAAGTCGAGATAATCCTTCATTGTTAAGCTGTAATTTTGAGCTCAGATAGATACGTTGACACAAGTTTCATGGAGTTACCTTCCTAGCCAATTGATACATCGACTTCGGGGAGCAATGTGGTGGACCATCTTCTAAGCGACTTTGTTCGTCAGGTGTACTTTGAGACCGCAAGCTTGCAAAGTTGACAATGCCAGTGTAACAGTAATAAATAAAGGCGTGCCACCTGCAAAATCCATTCAGTGACGTTTGTAACACGAAAAAAATCATACCTACGTCTTCCAGGCAACGCCCTTTACGAGAATAACTCGAGATCCACGCTTTAAGTTCTCGCCGATCACAACTGGCGCCATCCCGACATCTCCAACAAGTGATGGCCGGTTGTCCAGCCGCTCTTGAAGTCCAGCTGTAAGATTGACAATGTTAACCTGACATACGTATGGAGTTTCGAGTTTCAGTACCTTCGATGCTAGACAAAGACGACATTGAACCAGTATCAGTCGTGTCTGTGAGGTAGCGATCGATGGGCTGTGAGTTCAAAGCTTCAACACTGGAATCAAACAAACAAACCTTCGTGTGATTTATTGTTGACTGGTGAAAGATTGTTGTTATTCATGACGATATCATCGTCATCCAGGTCACTGTCAGAATTGTGTTCATAACTCTCCAGGGAAATGAAAGGGAGAGTGTCGCCTTCAGACAGTTCAAAGAGGGAGAACGAATGAAGGTTTCCTCCGGCTGCCAACGGTACTCAGCAGCCATGCCATGGATAAGGATAGGAATATAACGTACAAAAGTCTGGTAAAGTTGTTTGCAGCACAGCGGTACTCGCATAAATCGGAATTGGTCTGGCGACTTTGCCGAGAGAGAAACGACGAGAATATGCTTGGAATACTATGTCAAACGAAGTTCCCGTCTTGAGCGATTGCTCGAGGACACGAAGGGCAGAGCAGGCCTGAGGTGACGCTCTAGGCGTTTCAGCACTGGTAGGTGCATCCGGTACGGGCCTGACGGATGCAGGTACAGCGAATGGCATGCATGTCAGTGTTTTGGTTAAGGTGACCTCCAGCGAGACAATAACATTCCCAAGCTTCTCAGCGGGACAAGTGATCAGCGGATAATTATCATTTGCGTCAAAACCACAAAATCCTAGGATCACAGCGATAGATGCGGTAAGGGACATATCACCATCAGGATGTGATGGAAAAGAGATCGTGACCTTGGCCAGTGTACCACACCATACATCCGGGCAACTATGGGAATTGAAGCATAGCTGAGTCTTCTTTCCCTTTTTACGGATGGTGAGGCACCAGCCAAAGCCCGTAACCTGAGGAGAGTGAAAAGGAGGCCTCTTTGGAACGGCAGAAATAGCGGCTACGGAGCCCAAACGAAACAACGTCGTAATGGAACCTGAAGCCGAGGTTTCTTGTAGCTTTTTGATGACGGACATTGGTAGGGCGCACTAGGACCTGAGACCACTTGTTATAAGTGTGGGCATCCAGAGACCCCTGGAGCTGCATCGTGACTCGGTATGTATTCAAAGTCCATTATGATCGTGGGTTGATCAAGGAAAAGGAAACTCGAGATGTTTGTTACTGGCACCCACAAAATATCAAGGAAGGATTCTCGGTAGTTTTGTGGATATAAATGGCAAGTCACCTTGCTTGCAAGGTCATATGCCAACCCGCGAATCGTCCACAATTACAAACAACGGCATTTTCCGCATTCTCATTTGCGATTGTGACCAGTCTCTGTCCTTCCAAAATACCGTTTCAACTGCGCTCGTTCCCTTCGTCTTTCCAATTACAAACGAAAGCAAGGTCATCGTCGGCGACGGCGCCTAGTTCCGAACCTAGACAAGCAAATATATACACAAATCCCCACGCCCAATTCACCATCGAGACGGAATGGAAAATCCCCCATGAATGCGAATCTCGTAGCGAGAAAATATTGTTAGCAGAGTAGAAATACACGGAGAACAAAACATATCAGTATCCGACGTCCGTATGCTGCAGCATCAATGAGTGTGGGGAAGACGCAACAAAGAAAGCACGAAACGAACCCACAATGGTTGTGGCCGAGTGCCTATTGCACCTGGTGTTGTAGTGTTAGTTGCAGGGGGCATTGTGGATGTCAATATGTCCATAGGCTGATTTTAAGATGAAGACCCCTGCTAAGCCATGCGATTGGCTGCTCGAGCTGAGCCGAGCCCGGGTCATGCCCAAGGCTTGGGCTCGAATGTTGCAAAGCCTAAGAAAGCAGCTTGTCATCTGTTTGATGTTCCCAGCAAAGGTTTTCTAGCACCCGCCACGTTACCTTCGCATTTTGCAGCCGCAAAAAATAGCCTTCGGCCAGCTTGGGTTCAGACTAGGCTTGAAATCTGGTGAGTGACTGCAAATTTTTTGCTTGTATAACAGCAGCTACGCAGGCTACGCAGGCTACGCAGGCTCCGCCTATCGCTGTCTCGACGTCTATGATGAGCTAGGGCCAAAGCTACGCACCGGGCTGGGGACTCTGATGTGATGAATAATGTAGTGCGCGCCAAGTGTAAGAGTACGACGGCTGACCAAGTACCCTTACTGAAGCACCTGACCCTGAGGCAGAGCTGGTAGCCTGGTTTCCGCGGTGACATACCACTATCAAGACATAAGAATCGTACAGTTCTGAAAAGAGAATACTATTAGTTTCTTCATCATGGGAGCATACGACATGCAGAGCCTTCATATAACTGTGTACATCCGAGGCGGTGCTTGAGGTACAACGTGTCAAACTTCGATGGTGTCCTGCATAGATGTTAACGAGCGAAGGGCACCGGGGCAGGGCATGACTCAACACAACCACTCAACATAGTTTAGCACTTTTGAAACGCCATTAGTAATACTCGCGAGTATCTACAGACATCGCAGTTCGTAAGCACAATTAGAATGTGACATGAGATACATACAGAGTAGGATCAGCCTGTACTGCACACATAACCTTGATAGAACCAAATACTAGCGTCAAAAATACAGAGTCTATCCCAAATATATCAGTAAATGTTGTATGAATTCACGTGTTCGTAGATCGAAGAGGCTGGGACACTGTGGATGACGATTTGCGGACTGGTGACGTGATACTTGTTCAGTTGTTAATGCTCTCGTTCAAGTTGAAGCACTCACGAGTCTGTGATAGAAACCCATCTAATTGTGTTCAACGAGAAGCGTGGATCTGATGTACAACACCAAGTACGGGAGGACTTATTTATGTATGAGTTCGAAAAGAGACAAGACGAGTGACCCAGCTCATAGAGAAGCAGAGCGGCGTACTCGAAGATGTTATTCTTCCCGTCAAAGAAAGGACAGGTGCCCGGATCCGCTGTCCACCCACCACGAGCATGATTGTCACGAAAATCGAAGATCACATCACACTAACCGGCATCGTGTTTTTGGAATTGAAGACCGGGGAAGTGTCCGGTATGAGATAAGAGACCACAAAACAAACTTGGTAGTGGTTCGGCATCATGCATCATGCATCAAGCCTTCTACAGTGAAAGGTGAACGAAAAACATGACTTCTGCGTATTCTCATACCACAATATTCTCCCCTGCGTAAAGCCTGGTCCTGCGCAGCATCAGGGAGAAGACTTCCTTACAAAAGTCATTCGAATGATCGAATGCTGCGATTCATCTATGAAAAGGTGAGACTCCATGAGAGATTGTGTTCACCTGCGTTAATCATTTGATTTTCGATGTACGTACCACATATCAGAAGCCCTGCATTATATTACTCCCGGGATTCTAAATTCAAGGCTCTTGTTTTGAATACTTAACGTGCAAGTTACCTCGCAACACCCAACCCCTCCTCCAAAAACTCTGCAAACGCACGTCCCACGGCGTCCTCTCCCCACTCCACCCTCCCTTTTTCCGTGCTTCCCAATGTCACAGCTTTCCGACGCGCAGCCACGAATTGGCGCTTGAGACGTTGTAGCTCTGACAACGTCAGTGCACGATGCGGGAGTGTTAAGCGAACGCGGAGCACAGAACTATCACTGGCACTGGTATTCGAACTAGGTTCGAGCGTATCGATGGTGAGGACGATAGGACCCCCGAGCGGGCCAGCAGCCTGACCAGCCATGAGCGCAGAAACCAGTGCATTTGTCGTATGCTCCAGAGTGCGGAGGGCGTCTGTGGGTGCTTTGGGTGTGATTTGGGTGCCGACGTTTGGAGGTTTGATTATGCCAGTTGTGACTGCATCTGATATGCGTTCGAGTGGAGGTGTTGGGTCGTCCCAGGGGATGGTGAAGAGTGGAGCGTCCCAGCGAACCATGGATGAGGGCTCTTCGAAGCGTTGGATGAGGGCGTCGAGGCTGTTTTGAAGTTAGCAATGGGTGGGGAGATAGAGAGGCAAAAGACGGACGTTTGAGGTTTATATCTCTTTCCATCTCCTCGTTCGTCGTTCCATTTCCGACATTGATCAGGCGTAGCAAGTAC